CAAAGAGTTGGTTTTCCCAGATGTGGGAGATAATCAAGAAGTACTACCCAAAAGGGCAAGGGGAAGGAAAAACATTCCTTCCAAGGTCACAGAGGCTGTGTTTGCTTTTATTAAAATTGTCGTTGACTCTTAATTGCCCTTATGGAACATTAGGTTTGAAATTTCCTGCAGAATCAACTGAGTGTAAATCACTTTGTTCAATCAAACTTTTGACCTTTTCAAACATACACCGTGACGTCCCAGGACACTTAAGTATTTCAGACTGCAGATTTAAATCATGAAGCTGCCCTCTCTGGCTAAAAATCTTTCATCTAAGTTGTATGTGGCAACTGTTCAGTTAGGCCACAGTGTATTTTCTCCAGCAAGTCTTTCATTTTTCCAATTTATTAATACCTTACATGAGCATAGAAACCAGCTGGCTGAGTAACCTTCTGGTTCCACCAGAAGGTGTTTCAAAGTCAAAGTACCTTAACAGAAAGTTTGAAGTACCTTAACATAATTTTTTTAAAAGCTGTCAGTTACCTATACAGTGGAATAAAAGCTAAGTGGAAAAAATAAATAAACAGCAGTGTAATTTTAAGATGGTCAGAGATGGGTAGCCAGGAGTTACAAGTGCCAGATCTAGATCAGTTATTTTCAGCCAGTAGCCTGCAGATCCCTCTGGTAGCTCCCTCTGTGGGGTATGTGAGAAGAAATTGAGGGAATAATGCATGGATATGCTTGTAAAAGCAGCAGACTGCTGCACCGGGGAGAAAATATCTGGAAGTGTGAGGTAAGAGGGGAGGATTCACCATGGCATGCTTGGGGAGAGGCAGACTGGGCAGCAGTGTCCTGCTGTGCAGATGAACTGTGCTGCTGGGGGCCTGAGATGCTCCATCAGCCTGCGTGGTCTGCCTCCACCTTTTGGAAAATGTACAGGGCTCTCTGCTTTCTGCATTGTTGTGTGGTACAAACAGGGTTGGTGGATTGCCATCTCGATGGCAAACACTTGAGAAATGCAGACAACGTGTTCTTTACGGGTGCACTGGAATGAGGCATTTAAGGTAGCAGGTTTCCTCCTGCTTCTGGCCTTCCAAATCAACAACACAGTTTTATAACCGCTGCCACTTGGGCAAGTTATACAAGATGTCTGTCATATAAGATGTCAGAACATGTTCCCTCTCCTCCTTGAATTAGTCCCCCTTTAACTTTTTATATCTTTTTCACAATAGAAGAAATATCTACAAGCACCTACTTTTGACAAATCTAACGTAACTCATGTTGACATCCTCTCTTGTTGCTGTCAAAGTCTTTTGTGAAACTGATTTAAGGCTTTATAGGGAATTGAATAGCTTCCTGTGAGGACAGGAAAGAAGGAATCTCTTACTATTTGAAATATGTGACAGAATGCACACTGGGTTCTTTGTATAATCAGGCTTTCATCTGCATCCTCACATGAGCTGAAAAAAATTTTTGCAAGGAGTTTTTTAAGGTAAATTCTGAACTGACATTCTTTTGGTGATCAGAAATGAAACAAGTCTCCAGTGACACTTCCAGAAGATTTTTTTTTTTTTTTTTGTGGCACAGCCTGCTTCTGAATTTGTTTCATAAGACTTACAGCTGAGTTGCTGGTGCTGCATAGGAACATGGGTTTTCATTTTTTAAATGTCTTGTTGCATGGGAGCATTCAGAGTGAATATGCTTCTGTGTGCTCTGCAAGGAAACGCATTAAGACTAAAAGGTCTGCTGGTAAAGTTTTTTATAATATGCTGAGGAGCAAATCCTTTATCAGAGGTCAGAGACCCTGAAGTTGCCTTGTCTGTGGAGGATAGGTTGGTTCTAGTTGAAATTAGAGCTCACTGAGAAAAGACTTGGTAGAGTGAAACCTGCAGGAGAGCAGAGCAGTGTGTTGGGAGACGCTGGCACAGGCTGGGGCTCTGCAGCTGCAGAGGGGCTGGAGCCAGTGCTCCTCAGATTTGGGTTTGTGCACAATTCTCCAGAGGCAAATTGCTTGGAGTCTTCTGACTTCAAATTGGTCAATTGGAGCATGAAATTCCCTCAGAAGACAAACAGAGAGCAAAAAGAATTGGGAGAAATTACAAAGGTTGCCACATAGGCAAAAAAAGCTTCCGAGTAGGTTTTTTGTCTGGTGTTCTATAATAAATTTTTATTTGGGGGAATATGTAGCTCCAGTCAGTGTGGATATAGAATCCGGTCATGCTGGATTCTCCTTGGCATCCCTTCTGTAAAATTTACCTATTCATCCCATATCTGGATGCTTTGAGTTTCTGAATTTCTGAGTTCACATGAGGAATTCAAAGGCAAAGTTGGGTACAGATGACAACTGGAAAGGCAGGTTCCAGGTTTCTTCTGGAATACTGGTTCTCACCACGTTTGTACATAAATCTGAATTCTCCCTCTACATATCATACAAAAATATTAACCATGAAATAAAAGACACTCAGTAAAAGCTAATTCTTGTCAAGCTGTTTATTTATTCATAGTCATGCCTTGGTTTTGGTGGAAATGAGTATTTGGCATCTTGCAATACCATTTACCTGCTCACTTCAAACATGTGTCATTACAGTTGATCTGTTCAAGAGTCCATAAAACTCTTTTTCTTGAGAAATGGTGTCAATATATGTTCTGCTTGTTTTCTTAAAAGAAATTTCATCTGGTTCAGAGTACTTGTAAGCCAACTCTTATTTTTGAGGTTGGCCAAAGTGTAGAGGAGCTGCTAGAGTTTGTAAAAGCTTAATAGTGATTATTTAAAGCAGGAAAGGTTACTCAGTAGGTTAATTCTGAATAAGAGCATGATCAGATCTTACATTCTTAAGACTTATTTTTAGTATGACTGTCTGATGCTGAGTAAATATACTGTGCTTCAGAACTAAACAGATGCTTCCACTCACATTTTTAGGACCTCTGAAGTTTTAGAAAATATTAGAATAAAATTTTCTATGGAAAACATTTTATTTTTTTTATTACCCATTTTCTCCACTGTGTTTTGGTATTTTTCACTCAGAAGTGTTTATGTTTCTTTGGAGGACTGTGAATCCTCAAGGCAGCCATTTTAACAAATGGAGTGTGTGATGTTTAGCAGCTACCACTGCTGGTGTCTCTGAAAACCAAACTGGTGCTATAGAAGGCTAAATGTAGGCATCTAACTTGGCAAGTTGGAAGATGTGCTATTTATACTGGACTTTCCTGTGTCCTCTGTGACTTAATATACCTGGCCAACAAAATCTATATTGAGATTGTGCTCCATCAGAGATGACAGTGAATTTAACCCCAATACAAACTGAATTTTGAAGTTCTCACAAAGTCTAAATGCTCATATTAATGTGTTTTGGCATTAGCCTAAAGGTACCTGACAGAGTAAAACATGCATATAAATGACTGTTTATAACTCTTTTAATGTTTATGAATTTGAATAATTCCACATTTAGTTCACTTGTGCTCTGTGTATATTCTTTACTTGTGATTTTAAACAGCAATAAGTTCTCTCTTCAAAATAAAATTAATAGTGAAGTGAGAATCTTGGCCTCTAAGATCTTGCCAGAAAATAGATTGTATTTTTAATTGGTGAATCCATTCCAGATTTGTATTCTTATATATCTTTTGAGAGAATATATACTCAGAATCCATACAGATGAGATTTAAAGTTAGTTACTCAGTGATACTCAGATGTTTCACTTTCCTTAGTAAATTTATTTTTTATTTCTCAATTAAATTATTTGTTCTCAACTGTAGAGCTGTAACAACTTCTAAACAAATTGAATGAATGAGGGAAGGTGCAAAGAGCTTTTAGAAGCTATTAAGCTATCTTTGTATATTACAATGCTTTTATATTAGAAATCGAAATCTTAGCCAACACCTTTTTGTTGTTGTTGTTGTTTTGCCCAAGAGAGTCTCCTGAAATGAGTAGGACAATTTTCCAGCCAGCTGAATGGCTGATTCCAGCATTCCCTGTGTTAGCAGATACAGGGCAGATTTTGAAAGGGTTTCTTCTTAGTTTAAGTGGTAGCTGAGGCAGAGCAGAGTTCAAGTCTAGTCTGAGCATCTACTTTGTCTTAAGGTGAAGAATGGAAAGGCTGACAGTGACTGATTTTTTGCAAGAATTCTTTAACAGGCGGAAAAATAGGGGAGAAAGAAGCATTTCAAAGAAAGGTGGGTATTTGTGATGTCTCCTAGTTTTAAGGAAGGAGAAAAACTGCTTCTTCAGAAAATTGAAAGTGACAGGCTCTGAACTTATTTTTAGTATTAGGAGAAAGAGCAGTGAAGGAGCAGGATCACAGTTCCTCTGTGGTGATTCTTTAATTTCTTTGTTTTTGCATGCGCTGTTTTTTGCTGCTAAATTTAAGACTAATGAGTAGCTAGATCTATCAATTCCTTGTAACATTTTTGGTTTTCCCATTTTGGTATTCCCTCTAGCATTCCAAGGGTCTTCATTCTTACCCATTTCCCATTCAATCTCTTTCCTTACTGCCCTGTGGTTCAAAAAACCATCCCCTGTTATATGCTTCCTTTTTTTCCCCACGTTTTGTGTCTCCTCCTCCTCCTGTTTTTTAACAATATGTTGAGAGCCTGGGTAAAAATTTAAATTTCAATTCAATGTTTTAATGAACATTAGTATAGTAAATTTTATTCAGTTTTAATGTGCAGGCCTATTTTGGAAGGATCAAACATCTTCAAAAGAGGATAACTGATGTCTGCAAATGTTGCCTTGCAGTGACACTTGTCAGTAGTAATTCCCTTGTCTGGTAGAAAAGAAATGATAGAAGTTGGTCAAGCCAACATCCATTTTTTTACTTATAGTTTAAGTTGGCTTTTTTGGTAAAAAAATCACAAACCTCTGTTTAGCAGAAGAAGGAGGAAAGTAGTGTTGAATGCAATCTACAGTTTGTGCTGACCTGTGGAGTAAACCAGTATTTTACATCATCTACAGCTAGTGCTAAACTTTATTATTGTGCCAGCAGTTTATTGTCTGTCCTTGCTGATATTGATGGTCCTCGTTCCAGGCAGACACGACGGAAGGCAGAGGCACCTGCAGTCACATACGCAACATATCGGGGTTCTGCAAGGATCAGGCAGCTCCTGAGGAACCAGTCAGAAACGGGAAAAAGAGAAAAAAGTCCTGAGAACGGAAATGTTTCAACAGTCAAAGAGAATGGAGAAGTCCAGACAACTCTGTCTCTGAAATCAGGATGCCTAATAGAAGAAAATGGAAGAGATGAGGGTAAAGATCACCAAGATGATGCCAAATTAAATTTTTCTGCACTTAGAGTGGGAAGCAAACAGTCTGGTAAAGCTCAACATTGCTTGAGCAGAAGTAAACGTGAAAGAATTGCAAAGGCCCCAGCTTCATGCACTGAATCATGTAATGAGTTACATTTAAGAAATGCACCTGCTTTAGCTGCAACAAAAGTTAAAAGGACATATTCACTAGATTCATTATTGCCATTTAGTGGTAGAAACAGCGGGATCCTAACCAATTCCACTTCCCAGAGTACTCATTCCCTTCAAGTCAGTTCTGCAAATGATTTGATTGGAAAAGATGATGATCTGCCAGGAGAAACAGGAGCTCTGTTTCAGACAGACAAAAATGACACTTCCAACTTTGATAAAGAAATTTATTGTAGTAAAGCAGGTAATAAGGAATCCTCAAAAGAAATACAGGATAATTGTTTACATTCACCCAAGTCAAAAAGCAAGACAGTTAATGAAGAACTGCAGGTGGGGAAGGGAGAACTTTGCTGTAATCATCAAGTGAATAATCACTCAGAGCGAACACTGGATGTCCAGAGGCTTCATTTCAGTGCCACTACATTTCAGCAGAAAGCAGATCAGCACACCAGGAGTGACAATAAAGATGGTGATCCAAGAAATGGTGATGCACAGAAAATTGCCACAGCTGTGGAAAGAGAGCAAAATCCACAGAACTCTCCTGCTACCGTTCTTTTCCCTTTTAATGAACAAATACCTACTTCACTCAGCATGGAATCCAAAGGAGGAAAGTGCTTGGCCACAGGCAATCTGACTGCTTCAGAGTCATTTATTGGACATGATGAAGATACAGTCATGGGCAGGGGGACTTGTAATGAAGAACTGAGTGGGTCAGAGAAAGCAGTGCATGTACAGAATGGTCACAGGCTAATCCATGTGGAGAATTCTAAGGATACTGGCACACAGCAGACTGGTTTTCCTTGTCCAGGAATGGAGAGTGAGGAAGCAATGAAGGTTTTGTCTGAGGTTGCAGTGGAAAACCATGCCAATGTGTCACCATGTGCACATGGGTGTCAAAGTGTGAAAGCACATTTTGATGAGCTGACAGTGCTTCCAACCCACGAGTCTACCTCTATGATGTTTCCTCATTCTGCCTTGAGATCTGAAGGAAGGCCTTTGACCAACCGTTCTACTTTCAGCCATGAAAAAGATGATGTTGACTTAATTTCTGAGTCGCCGCCTGTTTCTGAAAGCAGGTGTATTAATTTTTCTTCCAAGAAGGAAAACAGCAATAAACTTAGGCTATCACCCACAGTAATTGATTCTTCATCTGACAAACAAGGAAACATGCTGCCTTCTGCCACTAACTCTGAAAATGGCCAAATTGCTGCTTCTGAAAAGGACAGCTTTATTTTTCCAGCTGCAGAGTCTGGGAGAATGATCCCTGTGAATAGGATGACCGAGGGGCCACCTTGCTTAGGAGACCTGAGAACTTTCAGCCCAGCAAATTCTCAGGAACCTGAGATTGCTCCTCCTATGCTTGATAGCTGTGCTGATGGAGTAGTTACAGAGGTTCTTTGCATGTCCAGGCCCACTTTTCCTCTGGTATCCAGAGAAGCCTCCAACCTTCCTGCTTCTACCTTGGAGATGTCCAGCACTGCTCAGGGGAACAGTAATTCTTCCAGAGACAGAGCTAGTGATGGGGCAGATGAAGCCTTCTCCACACAACAGGCTGACAGCAGTGTCCTGGCAGGAGCAATGCCATCACCCATCTGTCCCTTGATATCTTTGGGAACTGTATCTGAGTCAGCCCATTCTGAGACTGTGTGTAGGGATGCTGTGGGACAGGTGATTCTTGGTGCTTCTGCTCCTTTGGAAGCCCCTTCTGGCCAAAAAGCTGCTGCATCTGCCCAGGCAAGTAGTCTCTGTTCTGGGAAAGGACAGGAGTGTTCTTTCCCAGATGCTGCTGTTTTGCTGAAGAAAGCTGAAGAAATAGTAGACTTGGTTTTACACTTAGCTACAGAAGAAGTAATAGCAAAAGAAGGCTTTGGTGTCTGCCAGCTTTGTGGGAACAAGGATGGTTTAATAAATATGGATATGGCAAATTATCAGAAGGCTGAAAGTGGACAGCTGGCAGCAGGAGAAATCCAGTCAGCTGTGCAGTCATTAAAAGATTTTAATGAGACCGGTGGAGGAGGCTCATCTTTGTTTACAGGAAATGAAAGAGTGGATACAAATAATCAAGATGAAGAGATGCTCTCTTCCATCCCTGATAACATTGACCTACATAGGGTGCTAGAACTAAAAGCAAAAGAAACAGTTGATGTGGTCATTAACTCGGCCATACAAAAACTGGCATCCAGTCAGCAGGGAGGCACTGAGAGGAAAATGTTTTCTGGAAATATTCAGCCTAAACCTGACGCTGAAATGCCAAAGACTTTAAGTCTGGATATGAGGTTTCCTGCTAACATTCAGGAACCAGCAGAGATGGCTGAAACTCAGACTGTAGCTGTAAACTGTGAAAAGGCAGATTGCTCAAGTCCTCCTTTGCTTCCAAATTGTATGGAAAATGGCATAGGTTGGCCCCAAAAAGATGAAAAAGTAGCAAATAATGCAATTATTTGTCAAACAAACGGATTTCTTTCCTCTGGCAGTTTAGCAAGGCCAGAATCAGATCTTCTGACACCAGCAAAAGAGAAGCACAATGGAAAGGTGTGTGACCATCTGGCTGCAGCAGAAATGTGTGGCAAAGTATCAGCAATAAGTAGAAAATCTGATGGAACTTTACATTTTATAGATAGAGATGCTGCTGTGACTGAAGAAATGCTTTTGCCATTGCAGTTAAAAGGTTCAAGCAATAATACAAATATGCCAGAGTGCACACTGCTGCCAGCTGTAAATGTTAATTTGTCATCTTTTATGTGTGGTGAAGAATGTATCAGCCTGCAGAGTGACTCCAAATATAAAAGCAGCCCTCAGATGTGTCTGGAAAGCAATGCAGGGGACAGTTTATATGAGCACTGTGGGAAAGAGCCTGCAGAGGAAGTACCTGTACAATTAAAAGCAACCTTACAAAATTCAAAGGCAGTGGAAAGTGAAGAGCAACTAGCAGAAGGGGCAAATGAGGGAGCAGAGGTTAGTACTGGATTAGATGCACAGTCCATGATACCTGAACTGTCTGTTCCTGGAGAGGCCAGTGAAGGGAAACACTGCTTCAACACAGTTTTTGCCCAAAGTAATGAGAATCTGAAGCTGGCACAAATCAAGGGTCAGGACATGGAAAGAAATGATGAGCTTGAAGAAAATGGCCTGGACTGCAGCAATGACATGAAGGAACCAACAGAACTTTTGGCATCTTCTCCACTAATTGAACAGTGGGAAAACAGTTCTTTTACCATCATTTACGAAGGTGCTCTTCAAACTGAGAACAAATCTGTCTCAACTGATGAGATGCAAACAGGTTCTCTTTCTCCTTCTGATTTGCCTTCAGATGATACATATCATCTGAGGCATGCTAGAGCACAGAAGAAGCAGGAGTCAGTGTGTCTTTATGGGCAGGACAGCAAGGTGAGCAATGCAGCAGAGAGCCGAGGCTCGGAGTCCTTCCTGAGTGTGGAGGCCAAGCGCTACAGAGTTTATCCCTTCTCTCTGTCTCCCATCTACGAGGACGACAGCTCCCAGGAAGATCTGCTGTCCACGGACGTGTCTCCCGAAAGCCGTCCTGGGGGGGTCTCCAAAGACAGCTCTGAGCACACCTCTGTGCTTTCCCTCCTCCAGTCGGTATCCGAGCGCCTGCAGTTCACTGCCCGCTTCAGCACAGAGGAGGAGGATGAGGAGGACGGGGTGGAGGAAGAGGAGGAAGAACCTTCGTATGAGGAAGATATTCTTGATGATGAGAGAGAAGAAAACTGCCTCTCCAGTCAGTGCAGAGGGAGTTTTAAAGAAACCCCTCAATCAAATGACCAAAGCAGATCTTTTCTTGAGCAGTCATTTCTTCTTTCAAAAGAGCAGCTTGACTCACAGGAGCAACCTGAACAGTTTCCAGATGTGTCTTCTCCCAGTCAGACACCGTGCAAACCAGTTCCAGAGAAAGCTGATGCTGCTGTAACACAGCCTCCTACAAGTGTGTACTACCAGTACTTGAAATCTGCCAGAAAAGGCCCTTCTGAAAAGGGGACCAGGTTTGGAAGCATTCTCCAGGATATGCTGCAGCCAAAGATTCACTGGTTTCAAGATAACGCCGTGCCAAAACTGGGAGAATTGTCAGCGGTAAGATGTCATGTCACATGGTATTTATAATCAAAGTAATTAGCCCAGATTCAAAGTTGCTGCCTCCCTATCCTCCTTGCTACCTTTTAATTAAGTTTTTATCATAAAAGCAGTCAAAAGTTTTTATCAGAAGTCATTAGGGTTTTTTTTTATTTCATAGTTTTAAAAAAAAGTCTTCTGATGAAATAAATTTTAAAAGATAACAGTCTTGGTTCAGCACACAGGTGAAAGTGATTTAACTGTAAAACAGAATATGTGAACAGAAGGTAAAATGGGGAAATATGCGTAATAAAAAGTCTCTGTAATAGCACAAGACAGACTTCTCCATGTTGAGGATATTTCAACCTGTAGATGTTGGAATTGCCTTTTATATGAAAATTCTTCTTTTAGTCCTTTCACTTCTGAGATTAATAGAGTCGTCAAAAAAATTTATAAATATCAGCTTACTGGGCTCTTTGATTGTTTCATCACAGTGTCTTCTACAAACTATAGCTCAGTTAGCAAGCAGATAACATAGCTGCTTCCATAGATTAGGATTTCTTTTTTTAGTTTGCTTAAACCAATGGCAGATGAGGGTATGGAAAGAGTTCTTCCCATGTTTAGAATCTGAAAGTGCCACATGAACCAAGTGTGTAAATGAAGAAGTCTTTCCATGACATTGAGGATACTCCAGTCTGTGTTAGAGGTATCTTTTTTTCTTTCCTCTGTTAAGAAATGCATTTTATTGTTTGCTGGGAAGGGATAATACATTTGTAAAGGTTATAACTTCATAACAGCTTTTCCTTTCTAGCACATGCTGCTTTCTGCTGATTGACACTGTTAAATAATTTACACCAGCTCTGAATGGCAATGAAACAAATCTTGTTTTTTTCTACTAAAGACAGTTGTGTGCATGTACAGCAATAGTGGACCCAGAATAATCTGCATGTGCTTTGTGCCACTCTTGTAGTTGTTAATGGTTGTTTGCCATGTCCTTTTAATTTCAGAACCTCATTGACAGGGCAAGTCTCAAATACAACCCAAGACCAGGGAAGGTAAGCAGAGTTTGTGTCACATAAATCAATATGATACATGGAATAATTTGTCATACTGTAGTTTTTGAATGGAAAGCATCTGAAGTTGTTAGTCTAATTTTCTGTATTTTTATGTATTAATAGTATGTGCTTTCCCATGCTAATAGTGAGAATATATTATTTAAAATCCTGCCACTAGTAATTTTCCTTTCTTTCTCAGCAACTGTTTTCATTGAGTGTTTCATAAAGGAAGAAACTGTGTAGCCTTTCAGTTGAGTGGGCACAAATTGCAAGCAAAAAAATAACTGTCTGTGCTCTGTGTTGAAATGGGCCCTCATTTGCATGCATTGTGTATTGTTTCAGATTATTATTTATGATACTTGTGGCAACAAAAGTAAACAAGAAGTTCATTCAGATGTGCTAGATGCCTCATCGTGGATCTTTCCCATTGGAACAGTACTTAGGATAATTAGAGGATGGTAAGAAATCCAGGTCATATTTAAATAGAGTCTTTCCAAAAGACTGCTTGTGTGTTCCTCTTGTGTTTTTATTTCTTTTATTTATGACACATGTCCCATCTGCAGTAGTGTCTTTTTCTTGCTTTATAATTAGACTGATACCAGTGAAAAAGCATAAAACAAGGTTTTAAATACTGCACTAAAAAAAAATATATTGTTTCTCCTGGGAGATAGCTTTGACAGAAAGTTTCTAATAGAGCCACAAGTGAGTTTAGAGCTCTTGCCTGAAGTGCTGAGCCAGTGCAGCCGTAATCATGACTAGAAATAAGTGTATTAAAAAAAAGGTGGATTTTTACAGTTCAGTTTCATTATACAGTAGCTCTTGCAAAAGGACCATCAAATGAACATTCTCAGCTGCTAGTTTTCATGTGGCATTGAAAGGAATGTGGACACAGAAGGATATATACAAGGACCTTTAAGTTTGCAAGTGCTCCTCAATTTGCTTTGGGAAGCTGGGACCAGGTCTGTGTCAGTTGTTGCATTGGAATTTAATTGGTGGGGCTTGCAGGGAATGTTTCTGACTGCCAGCCATGCATGTCACATTTATGCAGTTTTGAGGCAGCCTTGTGTGGTTTTGCATACATTTCTTTCACACCCTAAGGGATACTAAATGCCATTATTAGTACGTTTTCTGCCTTTTATAGTGTCTGCCTGAACAGGACACGTTTTGATGTGACAGTTGGTATATTTGGCCTGGTAAAATAAGGCTGCTCATTCACATTGTAGCTTAGCTGCATCTTTATTTATATTTTGTCCTGGAGAACAACTGTGTATTTTCCTTTTCAATACCGAAGTGAGTGTGACTAGTGAGTGACAGCATAAGAAAGATGTGATACTTGTTGTAGTAAGAAAAGCTTTTTCCTGGGCTTTCCATCAGATATGCTCTACCAGTAAGGACTCAGTTCTTTTTATCATTATTGCAGTTGGATTTTTTATGAGAAACCAAAGTTCCAGGGTCGAAGACATGTACTGGAAGAAGGAGAAGCTGTGCTAGATCACCTTTGGGATCTCCCAGGCGTAAAACATCGAAGAAACCTCACAGTTGGTTCCATCAAACACGTAACAAAGGTACAGACTTTCTCCACAATATTCTCACATGCATAATTGATTTGCTGGTCACGGTGGTGTATTAGCAGCAAAGGACAATGTGTGTAGTGTTCCTGACTTTGTTCAAATTTGCTGTGACTCAGTCTTTTCACTTTCTAGGTGGTAAATTCCAGGGCTTTTGCTGAGTTAAATTTCCCTTTCTTCCTGAGTTACTGAGCAGGTGGATTATGTTTCTTTGCCTGAACCCTCACGTGACACAGGCTTCCCTGCTTTTAGATGGTTACCTGGCCAGTTGTTTGAAATTAAATGGAATCAATTCATATTTTTTGAAGGAGTTTTTATCTTAAGCTGTCTGCTGTGTCTGTATGGCTTCTGCCTCAGTAGTAGTTGGGTTTCCAATCCTGTTTGTACAGTATAGCCTCCAAAAACTGCTGCTATTCTCTCTACAGCTTTTGTGCCATCTGTAGGATCTCCACTTGGACCAGTGGTACACCTACAGCACGCAGCTCTACCTACAGCCTTCAGTTTAAAAGGCTTTTTGTTGAAAAGATAATAATCAAATGCCTACAACTAAATATAATGCATCCATTGTTATTCAGTGAATGAGGAATGTATTTTCCAGATCTTGTGATTTAAGAAGACTTAGTGGTCTCATTGTTCAGTGTAACATTCCAGTTACTCACAGGGCAGTGGCCCTTGATGTGAGTGGAATATCATTTGTATCACAATGTAAAAGATTTTTGGTAAAGTGGTTTTTCTGTTTTCTGCTGGTATAGAGGTAATTTTAAAATTGATAACCTTTTTGTCATCAGTACAGGGGCATAATGTCATAATAATTAGAAATACTTTTTTCATTCTCTTAAAAAACGTAGGAATTAGTTAATTCAAAAGAGGCTGACTGAAGGCAAGAATAATGAAGTTAACATTTATTTGAGCTAAACATACTAAAAGCCTTTGACCAATATGCTATATGAATGTTAATCAGTAATGTAGAAGACAATTAAATAAATGAAGGTGTTCCACAATAACAGCCAAGGGAAGCTGGATGTGTCTCAGCTATGAAAGAAGACTCTTGGATAGGAAAGAAACTTGCTTAATTTCATCATGCTTGGTAAAAACTTTTGCAGTACAGCTAAATAGGTTTGACTTTTGTTCTTCCAGTCTGGGGTTCATTTATGTAGAACACAGATGGAAAGCTTTGTTACTGTACACTACTGCAGTAATCAACACTTTCCTCGTGTAAATTAAACCTCTAGCTTGTGTGGTTGGTGAGTTAATGCCCTCACCAGGCCAGGTTTTGTCCTCTACACCTTGATTCATGAAGGCATCACTACTGTTTTTAGGTTGTTTTTTGGCTGCTGTGGAACTGCTTTTAGAAGGTAGTTTCCCAAAGTGCTCGCTTATTTATTTATTCTTGTGGAAAACGTAAGCTTTGTTTTTATTTGACAAATAGTGGATTCTTTTTCAGGCAGCTCGTGTGTGTGTGTGTTTTACTGCCATTTTCTTTTTCATAGGTTGTCAGTGTCTTTTCTCCAGGGTAGTTTGGCCATACTGGCTCTGTGTCCAGGTTGTCTGGCTTGTCTTCCAGTTTTTCAAGTAGTTTTTAATGGTCTTTGTTTAATGGCTCTCAGTTGCCTTGAGTTAGCAGATTTGAACACTGGCTAAATATTTGAGAAGAAAACAGCTTGCCAAGAAGAGGAAAAACAGTTTTTTACTAAGGAAACTGTGGGAGGTACATTTAATTATTTTTTTTTTTAACTAACATATTGACTGAAGAACAGTCTGCCAGTATCTTTGTCCTCTTCATTTGGCTTCAAGCCTCCCCAAAAAGCAGAGATTCTGTTAACTTCTTGGTTAGCTTGTGGCCTGGCTAACCATGGAGATGCATTAGGTGTATCCATGTGTATTTAAATTCAAGAAAACTGTGGAAGGAGATTCCAAAGAAGCAGATTGTGCAACCAGTAAAATGAAGATCTGTCTGAAATGATGTGGAGACTGATTTCCTCTAAGACACAAGCCAAGGCTAGCAAAGTCTGCCTGCACACCCAGGTTTAGTGCAGCTCCTGCAGTACAATCTGTTTAGCCAAGTCAGTTCTCTGGCCTACTGTAAATATATATTTTGACCTTTCTGCACACATTGGGCTTTTTTCTATCTGTTTGTGGAAGCCCAAAGAGGGTGCTAATGTTGTGTTCCCAAAAATAAGAGCCAAGAAGAGTTCCTGACGCCTCCATTCTGGAATAGTCTTGTGAACCACTGTTTTGCAGGATGACAAGGGATCTGAAACAGCAGTTTATAATCACTGTCTGCAAGATGGTTAGACAGGGAATGCCTGGATTCCTTGTGGAATCTTCTTAAGCAAAGCTCTTTGTAATGGGATTGTTCACACTATTACAAGAAGGGCGTGTTTCTTTTGTTTGTGTGGTTTGCCAGGTGAAAAGAAGCTAATAATTTAAGCAGGGACTACTTTGTCAGATGCCATAGGAAGACGCCCAGCAGCTTCAGACGGTTTTACTGGCTGGTTTTTACAGGACAGTAATAATTTATTTCCTTTTTATTATTTTATTTACCAGCCCTGTTGAGTTTGGTAGCTGGGTTTGGTGGTGGTGGGTGGTAACAAGAGTGGTACAGTGCTGGAGCACTGGGAGCCAGAATTAATGAATGTTCAAAAAAGCCTGGAGGACCAACAGCTCCAATAGAAAAAAAAACCTCCAGAAGCAGATAGCATCCTAAAGACAAAATGTGTATCTAAAGTAAAATGGTGTCTAGACTGTATTACAAAGCAATCATGTTAATTAGGCCTGGTTTTCAATAGGCTCTTCTCTCATCCTTGTTTTGGCATTTCGCTTAAGCCAGACTTCAGTCATTCTTTGTCCTGTTGTTGACACAAAACTACCCCAGTTAAACAGGCTGACTAGATCACCACAGCTGACAGGTCCAAGGAGAAGACCAGCAGTGCTGAGTTTATTTATCCCTGCTGGAGCTGAGTTTATTTAGCCCTGCTGTAATCCTAGAACCAGAAGGATAAACAACCAAGATCACCTTGAGGGGGTTAAAGGCTTTAGGTCTGTCACTTCTGCTGGACCTCTTGGTCAGGCTAGAAAAATGTCAGAGATGCTACTGAAGAGGAATATTTAGTGCTAAAGGCTTAAGGGTTGTGTTAATCCTCTTCAGAAGGAGCTTTCACCTTTCTGCTGAGGGCCATGTTCCTCTTGTGGAGGTGTCTGTAAGTGTTCCACATGCTTTGTAAACATCCCAGCTCCCTAAAGACCAGGAGGGAAGCACAGGCATTCCAGGATGACTGCGTGGAGGCGGGAGGAGAATACCACAGAGTAAGGCAGGCAGAGAGGGATGCCTGGAGGCTGTGATCTACCTAAGCATTTGCTGGTTGTGTGTTATCACTGGAAATGAGCACAGCTGCCTAATCTCTTTGACCTGCTTTTTATTCTGTTTTTGCCTGATGTGTGTGTAGGACAATGAATGTCGAGAGTTTGGACTGTTTGTGGTGGGGGGTGGCACATTTTGGGGGGTGGGTTTAGGGAGGAAACCTTCCAGTTTGGGCTGGAATACTGTGGTAGCAGTTTTGCATGATAATGGTTGTGCATGTGTGTATCTTATTTCCAAATCTTGACGCCTTGGAGATGGCAGGGCTTTGGACTGAAGGATCTCCACCTGACTGCTGTCATATTTGTGTGGTTTTCATTTTGTTTCCAAAGATGGTGGCTTAATTGGCAATGTTAAAGAGCCTCTGAAAGTAATGAGGGCTGTTAAATATGCCCAGGCAAATATGAACATGCTGGGGCCAGTATTTACCAAGCTAAGTTTGCATGCCTGAATTGTATAAACTAATGGCATGGCACAGAGTGTACATCTGCAAATATATAGCATTCACCTCATACAATAAATGTTACCATTCTCTGCAGTCTGTGCATCAGTACAGGTAAATTGAACTCCATATGTAAGTCAAAATGTGTATTTGTGACTTTAAAAAATATGCTTAGAAAACATGATGTACTTCCTGCTCGACCATGTTACCACCTTTAAAAATAAATACTTGAATTGGTTTTGATGAAAAACCTCAGTTTATTGTGCGGCACTTTATGAAAGAAATTTGTGGACTTAATCTAGAACATGCACAAAAATGCAATCACTATGAGTAGAGCTTTTTTGTTGCTTTCAAAATCTGGCTGGAGAGAGATGATGATAAGTAGGGGAGACTTTATTATGAGTGTTTGTGCTTTACCTCCACTGGTACTTTGTCATCTCTTGAGCTGCAGACTGCCTCATGAGCTCCAGAGTCAGGACAGCAGACTTGAAAAGAGCTTACAGACTGCCTTTTTGCAATCTTAAATGAAAAACAAAAACAAAAGCCTCCTACTGAATTAAAGTTAAGCATACTCCATCTCCTATCCTGTCTGAGCCCTCAGGCAGATACTTTTATTTTGCTACTTGTCTAGTCTTGTAAATACTTAGTTTCAGAATTTATCTGAGGCCATTAGGAGTCTGGCATCATTATTTGTGGAATTCTCCTAGGTGCAGCTTCCAATTTTCTGGATCAAGCTTTATTGCTGGATTTATGAATTTCAGCCTTCTTACATATCAGATATTTTTAGAAAAAAAAATCCACAGACTTCAAATATTTCTCAACTTTAATTTAATAAGATACGTGTGAGAACAATGAGGTTTTTTTTTTAAATCTTGTCTAGCAATACGCTTAGAATTGACGAATGGTGTTCCTTAGCATTTTCCCATAAAGCAGCATTGTACTAGAAAGTCTTTTCTCCTAGTTTTTCTGGGTTTGTTAATCTGAAAATAAAAATTCCGGTATTGCAGTTTGTGCTCAAAAAACAAAGAGTGAGCATTGTTTGTAAGGTACAATACAGAGGAAATGTGATTGTGCAGGAGGGAGAGCTGCCAAAGCAGTATTACTGTGTTACCTCAGGTCTCAGGAGGAAAGTGAAACAATATCCTGAAGTGCATCCATTCTAATTGCCACACTTAGTGCTGACAGTTCAGTAGCTAATGAAAAACCCTGTGAGCCAAGAAGTGGGATGTTACCCCGTGAAAACCCCACTGAAAACCCACGTGCAAAAGGAGAGCACTGCAGGTGCTGTCACGAGTTGAGGTGCTGTAGCTTCCAGGGCTTTTGTGCCCTGTTGCTGGGTTTCCCTGCCAGCTCTTGTGTTCCTTTCAGAAGCCACAGTCCACGCAGGCTCTCTATCACAGTGTGCCCCTCCTGGCTCCTCCCCAAATCCAGAAATCCCTGGGGGAATCCTGCTTCCCTGGGGGCACCTTCAGAGACCATTCCTCATCCCTCTTCTCTGGAACACATGAAAGGGGCATCTTTCTCCAGCCACGTTAGGATTTTGGGAATCTTTGTATGCTGTCCAAGCCCTCTGTCCTAAAGCAAAGAGGCCTGTGGGTCAGGAGGAGAAGGGAAAGTGTTCTGGGAGGTTATCACTGAGCAGTGAAGTTTTCCAGCTGCACATGTGAGCTGCCTTCCGCTGGTCCGGAGCACCCTGCTGAAACAGGGACTTGCAGAAGATCCTCGTTGGTCCATGATGTGTTTGAGTGCTGGGGAAGAAAGTGTTGTGGCAATGCATGTTATATAAGTACTGCAAAATGAGGATGGGTCAATAAAATCCCTGCAAATTCTAGAGAGGAGCATGTGGTCAACAGGTTTGTTCTCCATTGTGGTGTCTCTCAGTAGTAAACCTCCAGTAAAGAAATGGAGGTTGTTGCTGTGTGGTAACAGGAAAATTGCTAAACTGTCTACTTAGCAGAGTAGGTATTTTCTAATACTGGTCTTTGTTCCTTTCTTCATCTAAAATGCTGCAGATTTATTTAGTACAACAAAAAAATTGAACTCGTATGGCTTGATACTGTAGTTGGATTCTGCATTACAGAACTTAATTGTCATGGAGGGGTGGAAGTGGGAATGTAATAGATACTTCTGGAAAGTTTTAGTTCATGAATGCATCATGTGTGCGATGGAAGCATTGCCTTTTAAAAAAGAAGTCATTCTTATAATGCTGTTCAGCCCTTTGGTTGGAGGATATTTAAACTGACCTTCATGCAAGTAGCCTGACAGACATACATTTCTTCTTTGAAAATTAGTGGGAGCTAGAAATTTACCTCCCTTGGCTTTTCTAAAAATTCCAGTCTCCATTTTAAAAAGAATAATACCCTCCATCCTATGAAAGCTGGAGAAGGGTGAGAAGATGGGGCAAAAAAGAGGATGTTTGGGGGCAGAGTGTGCAAGTGTGGATAAACATTACACTTTGATTTGTTTCCACAGGACTGTGGCATTCCAGAGGTGGAGTTCTGCCCGGCAGCTGGTAGTACAGAGGGACTTCCCATCTGCATACAGGGTGCAGTTGCCAATTTAGAAGAGCTGGATGTTGAGAAAAACCCTTATATAAGAGTCAGATCAGGAGTGTGAGTACTGAACCTTTTTAACAGCATTTTGCCAGGAGGTCGAAGAGTAATACCGGGATATGAACATCAGTCAGCCACATGAACAATATCTGGGGGGTTTTGCCAGAAATTAGTAAAGATACATGTAATATTCCCAGCCTTACATGTCAACATTGTGCTCTGTGGGCTCCTAGTTTCAAGGCATTTTTTCCTAGTTGCTGGCAGAAGTCTTCAGTAATTCCATATTTGAGTAGTTTTATAAATAGAGGAAGCAACTCAGCTATAATTAGCTTTTATTTCATTGGAGAATAGATACTGTCTCCCAAGTCACCCACCCTGTTACAACCATAACACTGTGGCTGAGCACCAGAAAATGAGTGTTGCATCACCCAAGCATTTCTCAAGCTACAGGCAATCCCTGACATTCTGGAGGAAGGTGATGCAGTATGACACAGACCCCTGGGCAGCCCAAAACTTCCTGTATTGGGCAGAATGGGCTGTTGTTCCCTGGGCCAAAACATCACAGTTCCTGAAGTTTGGGAGTTGTGTGGCTCTTCCCATAAGTATTTGCAGAATGACATTAGCTCTTCTATTACGAGAGTCTTGCCTTTCCATGTGAGCCAAGCCTTCCTTCCCACTGTCTCACAATCTGTCTGTGAAGCTTGAGGTGGTGAAGGAGTTAAAAACAGTGTCTTGTCTTAGTTTTGACAAAACTTGGTCGTTTAAAGAAAATAATTTTCCATATGGCTCTATGCCTCTTCCTCCATTCCTTGTGTGGTCTCCTAAACCTGTGTCCAGCTTCTATATTCAGCTTTTTTTTTTATTTAGAACAGTCTGAAGGACTCCCAGCATTTTTAATACTCATGTTAAAATTACAATAGCTTTCCAAAGGATTGTTGTAAATAATCATACTTTAATAACTTCCGCTGAAAAAAATGACATGGGACTGATGTTAGAAGCCTTTTAATTCATAAGGTGATAATCTTAGATGAAACTCAATGCAAACATCTCATCCTCAGTACTGGCTTTTTTTTTGGTACTCACAGAATAGCAAGGTGGCTTTTTTAAGTGAGTGAACAAATTGGTAATTTTCTTCCCTTTCATTTATATTTAGCTTGGACTAAGAAAAAGTATCTGAGATCTTCCTAGCAGTGATGTTGCCAGCATATTTAAATACAGCTTTGTTTTGATGTGCTGTCTCAAACATTATCTAGCTCTTATGAGTACAAAAAGGAAAATAATTGTAGTAAGATCTTTGTATTGGGAATCTAATTGGTGAACTGATTGAGTCATTTGTCCTTACTGTTGTAGATGGCTTGCTTATTCAGACTTGAATTACAAGGGAGAGATGACAGTTTTGGAAGAATGTGATTCACCACCTGAAATTCCTTCAGCAGATGTAAAATCTCTGCGTCCCTTAAGAATGGTGAGGACTTCACAATTCCCTGATAAGTTGTGTGCCTTCCTTTTTCTTATTGTTGCTTCCCCAGATGTTTTGACCTAAATACAGCTTGGGCTCTGATGTTCATTCTGGGTTAATTCTCCGTGGTGTGCTTGCTTTGGTCAACATGACTTGTCAGGCTTTGCACCCCCCAACATCTTCCTGGGAAACTGCTGTTGTTGGGAGGTCAAATAAGACAGAAAGGCTCTTAATTTTATTGCATCCAACACCAATTAATTAACCAAAAAGCCCTTCTGAAAGTTATGATTTTCTTTTCTTTAGTTAGGGTCTAGTGGGGATGGAAGACCAGATAAGGACTTTATTACCCAGTAGTATTTCTCTGCACATAAATCTGGGGAGGTGCAGCTGGTTTTTGTGTTGACAGACAGCACTTGGATCCGCATGTGAGAGGAATGGGAAGGGGTATAACACAAATTTTACTGTGTACATAGCAGGCCTACAGAAAGACAGTTTAAAAGCCATAAAGGAGTAAGACCTATTAGCTGTCTCTTTAGTCACTCAAGTGAGGTCAGTCTCTTATTCACTCACATTTCCAGAGAAGATGCATTTGTTGTATTTGCTCTTTGACCATAAACATGAATATGTCAGACTCTATTTTCTCTCTCTCCTGCTGTTTTCTCTTTCTTCTACCATTGCATCATTTGCCCTTTAGAAATTTGAAATACATGCAACAAAGCTTTAAGAGTTAATTTTAAAAATTGATCAGTATCAATTAGTTTAAAAACATTTACTTTAGAATTCTAGACCATGAAGGGATACTTGGAAATTGCTTGCAGTCTAAGAGGTTTGTCAGTGCACTGATTTGTTTGTAGGTCAGGTTTATAGTGTGTCTGGCCTTTTGAAATCTATGGCCAGCACTGAAAGTGGTGAATAAAATTGCAAAGACTTCATGCTCTGATAGTACTGTAAAACACATGCCAGAGGGAAGCTTCAGGTTTAATATAAATATCTATTTTTCTCCCCATTTGTTTTTAGGGTGGACTAAAGGTGCAAATGCCCATGAATGTCAAGGTAAGCACAGAGAGCATTGAGAATAAAATATAAGCACTTGGGAATATGAAATCTTTATGTAAGCTACTTTCCTTTTGTTTGGTGTGTGATCTTTGATAACTATTCCATGCTTGCTGCTGAAGAAAAATTCCCTCATGCTGTCAAGTTCACTTAGTGTTTGATGAGGTGTAAAAGTACCAGTAGTTTGTTTTTCACTTACTAGGAAAGTGTGAATTTGCTATAAAATGAGTTTTTCTGACTTGACACATTAGTCATTGTAATGATAAGGGATTGGGGTAGATTTTCCCATTTAACATACTGAGTTTAAAAAGAAAAGGAGAGGGAAGGGAGGAGGAGGACAGGAATAGAAGCCTTCCATCCCAGCCCCTTTCCAGTACAGGAGTTGTGAGTGAGACCCTGATCCTTCTGTGAGCTGAGGACTGAAAGCTGATCCAGAGCTATTGCTCCTTTTTCCTCCTTTTTCTACAAAAACACTAATGCTTTGGGTAACTTTTAATTATGCAAATACATGCCTGACTTGGGTGTTTTTCTATTAAATGCGGCAACAGATGCAAATATTGTTAATAGCTGATCTGTGTGATTCAGCAGATAAGGAACTTGAAGGGGCTGTTAACTGCAGTCATGGAAATAACTTCAGCAAAGTACAGGGAGAGGCTTCTTGTCTACTTTTGAAGGATTAAGCTCAACATCATGTTTTCTAGATAATAATATATGAGAAAACCCACTTTGGAGGATGGTCCAAAGAGTTTTCAGAAAACATCACTTCTGTCCCAGCACTGTTTGGTAGTGAAGAGGAGTTTCAGGAAATTGGATCACTACGTGTAATTGGTGGAGTGTGAGTATATTTCACTTTTATATTTATTTATTTTAAAACAAAGAAGCATAACTAAATGCTTAGAAGTGCTAACTAAGGGTTGATTGGAATCTTTCACAGGTGAAGTGTTTTGAGAAGTAGGGAGTGTATATTTCTTTTATTATCAGCTCTTCAATTATCAGCCTCCCAAGCTAAATGTGTGAAAGGTGTGAAGTCAGTGTTTGCCACTTGGATGCCAATAAATTAGGCCACTTTGTTCACACAGAGCATTAACTTGTATTGATTTATACTTCTGATACTCTCTACTTAATTTGCTGAAATGACCTTGGGTAGGTGTGGTCAGTCTTCAGTTTGACATTTTAATACCCATGAAACCTACAAACTGTTTTATTGTCTTAATGGTTTTCCTCTGCCAGCTGTTGCATGTTATGTGGCATTGGGAATTAATTAACGTTAATGTTATTTTCATTAATTGAGGCACTGGATGGATTCTGTGTTGTCCTGCCCTCCCTGTGTCACACACACACAGAGGACTGTGTCACCTGTGTCACAGGTGGATGCTCTGAGGTAAACTCAGCACCAGCCACCAATCAATCCCTCATGTTCTTCTTTCAGCCTCTCCCAACAGGACAGGACTGTCTGAGAGGAGGCAGGATGGTTGCTTCTGCCAAAGACTTCAGTAATAAAACAGTTCTCAGAAAATCTTGCTTTTGTTTCATAAGGGATTTTCCACTTTAGCATAAAGATGGAATAACATACATCCTTTCAGGCTGCTGTCAGAATTTTATGAGCACTAAATTCAAAACAAACTTAAGTGTTAATACTCAGATAATCTATTCATAAGTGCATTGTGTGTTTGCTATCTGGGAAGCCTCAGATTATTAAAAATCATTGTTTTGTCTGTTGTGGCAGCTTTTATTTTTAGTGCTATGGTAACATAAGCAGCTGAATTAATGTAAACCAAATGGTACTAAAGTAAAGCCACCCCTGCCTGCCAAATTTCACTGCCAATACAATTTGTACAGCAATTCTAATATTTACAAGGGAGTTGTAATGAAAGAAATGCTAACAAGAAAAAAGGTGGGAGAAGCACTTTTTAAAATTTATATCCGTTAAGAGATTTGAAGTTGATATGGAAACACCTTCTTTTAACTGAGCCTTATCTATCTATTTATTCAAAATATTTTGAAAATTTCTATTTGTTTACTGCTAAAACATATTTCATATACAATAAGGTTTAGATCTTCAGTTTGCTTGTCTTTTTATATGTATACAGTTTTAGATTAAAGCAAAAAAAATACAAGCAGGCCAAATGTTGTTTTGCTGAAATTTGTTAATTTTGTCACCAGCTCCAGCAAGGGTAGGGTCTCATCATTTATTAGCACATTAAAGAGATCCACTGCTTGTGTTTTTATCACTGAAAGGTTTGGCATCTAGCTGCATCCTGGGCTCTGTGGTACCAAATATTGCTGTTGGGAATGTGGCTGGCCGAGAGGAGGTACACAGAGAAGCATTACATAAATCAACTATTGTTGGATAAAGAATCACATGGCAGGATTTTGATCCACAAAGAACACTTCATGGGTGCCTGTTGTGATTCCAAACAAGCATTGCTTTGTTCATTGGCTGGATTTGTGGTACTCATTTTAGTGTTTTTGGGGGGTTCTCTTCTCCCTTTATTTGTTAGAGAAAATCATGTGTGCAGCTGTTTTGCCTTTACTGACTTCTCTTTTTTTTTCTTGTTGTGGGGCTGCCACAGATGGGTTGCCTATGATAAGGAACGTTACAAAGGCCATCAGTTCTTGCTGGAGGAAGGAGATTATGAGGACAGATGCTCCTGGGGGGGAAGTGACAGTGCCCTGCTCTCCTTCCGCTTCCTTCAGGCTGTAAGTATTCACGTGTATTTCTTACAAATTATGCACAGCTCTGGCCATAAAGAGCAAGGTTATTCCTTGTGCAGCTGCCTTGGGTTGGGGCATTCCATCTTTTGCCTGTGTTCATCCTCATTCTTTGCCTACTGGCTGAAATCTAGACTGCACTGAGGAAGAAGCAGGTTCCAAACAGTCTTTGTGAAGTTCATACAAAAATCGTATCATGCAGAATTCCTTGTCTACCTGCCAGATTTTCCAAGTACCTCAGTCCTGCACCTCAAGCTATTTGAGTCTCTCAAATGGAATTTTCTTAAAAGCGTAACGTGCCTGAGTGTACAGAGTAGTTCTTGATTAAAACAAAAATAGCTTTTCAATGCAGCAGCTGTTGCAAGCCTTAAAACAGCATTACCCTCTGTCTGTGATTTTTCTGCCAGAAAATTTTGGCAGCAAAAATAATCACAGTAAAAAAATCCCTCCTACTAAAATGTGTTTAGTGGAGGCAAGGATGAAATAATAATAAAAACTATTTGTAAGAGTTCACTATTGGAAGCAAAGTTAGACTTTTTAGCAATAGGGAAACATGGGGTTAGAACTTCTTTATAATTTCCTTTGTTTTGGGTTGGGTTTTTGTTTGTTTGTGTAAGTGTTTGAAGGGGTTTTTTTATTATAATGGCAGCTCTGTGAACATTAAATACAGCTGCAAAGAGTAAGTTCTTCTGAGACTAAGATTGTTCACTGTGATATTACCCAGTTTTGTAAACTCAGATTACTCATTTCATCTGAGGAGATGTGATATTCCTGGGCCAGAAATTTTGTGGAAATTGAAGATGGGGATTTAAAGCAAACTCACCGTCTCAACAGTCTTTTCTTTTTTTAATAAAAAGTTAATGTGAGCCCCTGAAGGCCATACTTAAATTCACAATTTGCAGGTTTGTTTTCCGTGACAGGCACCTAGCAAAAGCTGCATTTATAATCAGAATCTATCAAAATAAAGATAGGAGAATGAATTGAATTCAAGAAAAATATCCTTCTCTAAATAATTTATTTTTAGGTTTCTGAGAAAAAGTAGGTAGGAAATTTTTTCAGATTCCTCATTTTGAATGTGCAGAATCCTATTCAATTACTGAATAATCTTCATTTTCCTCTCTTTTCCAGCTGTATATAGAGTACTTGAGCAACTTAAATTGATCTTTTTTGATTTTTCTCTTGGCAAAGAACATAAATAGAGTTAAAAATCATGCATGTGGGTAGCAAGAATGACCTTCCATGTCATGTATTTAATTTAATTTGTACCTAGAACAGTAAGAAGGCTCAAGTCATTAACATTTTAAAACTATGTATCATTCAGAGTCATATATCAACATATATCATTCCACTTGGCTTATCAATATGTATAAATGTTTACCTATTGATAACAGGAGTGAAAAGGAATAATTCCCCTCAATTTGTTGCATAACTGAAGGCAGCCAGCTGCTTGCCAATGGAATGAGTAATGGCCCTGGCACTGTGTTGTTTGGCTTGACCAGCAGATTGCCTCCCTCTGGGCAATGTGCAGCACACAGGGCAGTGCCCAGGCTGCCCATATGCTCCCTTTGTGCCTTTGTATACCATACTTAAGGTCAGGATTTTAAAAATATTTTAGTACCAAATGTTCAGTTTTAAGGGGACCCGGGCAAAAATCCAAACTCTGTGTGCTTGAGGCCCCTGACCGCACAGCAAATGTCCTGGCTTTTCTCCCTGAGCTCAGGAATTCTGTCAGGGGAAGGTAAAGGTTGCAATGGTCTCAGAATCCACAGGGATATTGTTGTACATCCCCCCTCCCCAGGCACTGGTGAAGATGTGCTCAATGTAGGCACACTGCAAGGGCTGCTTTTGGCTGCCTTGAATATTCCTGCAGTGAGCAGTCACAAGGGCTGATGGGGGTTCAGGGGGTGTTTGGGAAGCAGAGATAAAAAGATCTTGTGGAATTGTTTTTTCCAGCTGCTGCCAGCTCCCTGTCAGCACCTGTGTTGAACACACCTGAGTCAAGTGCAGAGCCCATTCCTGGGGGCAGGCAGCAGTCTGGACTGGGAGCTGTTTGAGGGGACAGTGGCGTTGGCTTCTGTTCTGCAGTGTCAAATGCATTTCAAGCTGGGGTTTGCCCACATCTCAGTGAAAGAGCACAGTTTCTGAGTATGTTGCCTTCAGAGCTTTGTTTCCAAGTCTAGAATGATCTGCTGTGGTCTGAAAGTCTTTTCTCAAAAAGTATTTTTCCTGTTGCTTGTTTTAAGAGAAGTTGTAGTGGAAGTTCAGGGAGAAAAGAATGATGGCTGAATTTGAAATATGTTTTAAATTTGATTACCACTGTGGATATATTTAAGTATTAGAATCTTAGTTAAGGCAATTATATGTAGATTTGATCTAAATTACTTTTTGGGTACTCTTTTGCTTTAGGACTGTTAAGAGTAGCTGGTTTTCATTTGCACTAATACTGCACTAGTTTGGTTGTTCTTTCCTTCTTTTTTTTTTCCTAAAAAGTAGTCTGAAGCTGCAGTTGTTCATTATGATTTTTCCAGACCTGGCACTTTAATTTCTAGTGTGTACCTGAAATAGTTGCAATAGTTTAAATAAATGGAGGAAGGAAGTGGTCAACACAGCAAGAGAACCAGTTTTACTGCAGAGTTTGTTCCATCATCTTTTACTGTCCTGTAAACAGTGAGGAGAAGTTGAACCACATTAAGTTCTAAAACTGGTTTTATTATTCATTGTGATTGTGTCCTGTAGAAAGACGTGGTGTCCTCCAAAGAGCCTGTTTGATCAGGTTCACCTGGCCAAATTAATCTGGCTGGATGATTGCTTTGGCCTTAATTTCTAGGTGTTTTTTGATAAATCTTTTATAAATCTTTGTTTTCCCAGTGTTTAATGTAATAATACTCATGGTGGAGGCCTCATATGTTTGTGAGTCTCTGTCAACCACGTTATTTGCTTGACAGCAATTGTTTCTTGTTTGCAGGACTTACTTAGTGTCAATTTATAACACTGCTGAATGATTGGGAAAGACTGAAATTGAGTTCCTGCTTTCTCTTAAAAGTTAGAGGGGTGAAGTGAATAGATTGTTGTTTTCTGTTTTCCCAAGCAGAGACTGAACTGTGTGCTTAAAATTGCTAAGTGGTTAAAAAGCTGAAGATTTGAAGCCTAAATTCAAGTAATCTGAAGCTGTGCAAGTAAGCTGGCCAAGAAACTAAGCTGGCTGAAAGCACAAAGTAGTGTCACACAGCTATGTAAGAGAGAATGTGACAGTGTTAAGCAGGATTTATTTATAGCTGTAGTGGATGTATCCAAAAAGTACAAACCCCTTGTGCTGGAAAGGTGATCTTGCCCAGGATTTTCCTCTCCATAATTATTGCCATGTTGCTGGAAAGGGATGAGGAAGGAGAAGTTTAGTAAAAAATTATAGTCATGGTCATGTTTGGAGTAGTAATTTGTGAGGCTTTTGGAAGATCAGTGCTAAACTCTTTTCTTCCTAACTCTTCCCACACAGGCATCTTTGCACTCTGAGCCATCCTCAAAGTGGAGAGGATGGTGCTCAAGGGCAGCAGGCTCTTCCCCTCTTCAGTGCAAACCCCTGAAGGCCATATAAAATTGCCAGGCTTGGTGTTACTCCAGAAATTCAGTGCCAAAGTATCCCATAAAGATCCACACCAGGGAGCCAAGCCCCTTCAAGCTCTATAAAATGCTGTATTTCTGACTAGAACTCTTTCCCAAAATGGTTTATCTTGTGAAGAGTCATTGAGCTGTGACTGTCCTCTAACTCCTGTGCTGCCTCTTAGGATTTCATAGAGTCTTCAGTGGCACTTTTCCAGTCTGATGATGAAGATGGGAAAGCATTTGACATCATCAATGAAGAAATCCCTGATTTGGAGCAGGTTGGATTTGGCCCTGAGACGAGGTCGATTCTTGTGAAAAGTGGAGTGTAAGTCTGCTCAGATAGATGGAACTGTTAAACATTTCTGTACACCTTTGGGTGCATCTCTTGACAGACTGTATTCCACATGGTACATGTGGTAAATATTTGGAGGAGAAAAGTGTTTCTGTACATTTCTTGGGGAGTGGAAGGGAAATAATAATTCTAGTTTTCTGTAGCTCTCATGCCTACACCTTGATTTGGATCTAAGTGTTCCTGTTCATAGAAAAATCTGTGATATCCCCCAGAGGACTCACATAGTTCCATGGCAGTAATACTAAAAAGATATTTTAGATATATTAAGAACTGGTATAATTTTTGGGACAGGTAGAGCCTGTCCAGAAAGGATGAGATGTGCGGTATTTGTAATAAAGTCGGACTGCTGGCACTGAAAATTAAAATAATTTTTATAGAACTATAAAAACTAAAACATAAAAGATATTAAGGGAAAAGAGCATTGTGAAATCATGTGGGTTTCAGACATTTAGTAGTAATTTTTAAAATGCAGTATTTATATTGTCATAACTATCCTAATGGTGATGGGGATCAGGAACTGTGAAGCGAGGAACCTGAACTGCTTATGTAGGCATTGGTGATTAGTGTCTCATGAGGATTAGGTGCAAGAATGAAAGGCTGAGACTCAGTTTGGAGAGGAGAGATAGAAATGAGAGCTGCAAAATCCTGAAGGTGGTAAGACAAGATTAATGCAGTTCACAGAATCTTGCATGACAGCAGTTGGGGGAAATGTTTTACAGAACTGGAGATTGCTTTAAAGCAGATTTTGATATGGGAAGAAAAAAGCTTTTCCTACACCAAAGGCAATGAGTTTCTGGAACTTGCTGCTGAAGGGACTGTGGTAGAGAGAGCACCAGGAGGTTAAAAAAACCCACATGAGATAATTAATAGCAAACAGATTCATCAGTGGGTGATAGAAGTAAAATGAGTAAAGACATGTCCTGTTATGTCCCTAATAAAACAGTCCCAGTGCTGGGTGAGGAATGCACCACCAAAAGTGGGTGATTCAGAGGTGTCTTTCTAACCAGCCCCCATCTGATTCTGCCACTGTGCAGGAATAGAAGGACCCTCTAGTTGGGGGTTTCTTCCTAAATTGCAGGAGAGAAAGCAGGCTGGGAGAAGCTTGAACTGCCAGCTGTTGTGGGCTTTTGCTTAATCACATCAAGCCTTCCTCAGTTACTTCTCTTTCTTCTTGCACCATTTTTCCTAAATCCAATTGGAAAAGCTGCAAGAAAGCCCTGTCTGAGAGATGCCAAACAGGCAAAGATTCAGTTAAGAGACATTCAAAAAGTTATCAGTTAAATGTCTTTCCTCTGAATTTCTGGGCAGGGCATCATCTCACAATAAATTTGGTGGGAAGGCAGACACCCAAAATCTTGTGTTTGTCAAAGTAGGGAAAAGCAGAAAATCAAGTGTGTGACAGTTTTGTGCCTGTCATCAGGTTTAATGTTGCACTGTCTGCCAGGTGGACATTCTGTTGTGCTTGACTTGCTGTTATTGTCATCAAACTATTCAGAAAAATGCAATGTTTTCAGTATAATTTTTGTGTCATTCTCCAGGTGGGTGGCATATCAGCAGAAATATTTCTGTGGAGAACAGTATGTGTTGGAGAAAGGAAAATACAAATGTTTCTTTGACTGGGGAGGATCTAGTAAAACCATCATGTCAATTCGACCTGTTAAGTTGGTGAGTTACCAGAATTTAAGGGAAAACCTTAAAAGAAATGAGACCTTTGGAGTTCAGAGTTTACCATAACAATTAAACAGGAGAGCCCATGTTATAACAACCTGTGTATCTGCTTGGAAACAATTTAAAGACCCTCATGGAAGGCATAATGAGTCTGTTCAGGATGGAGACTTACATGGGCACTGCAGATCTTTCTTGTCTTTTGAGGAAATTGTTAGGGAAACTTCATAAGAAGAAATTTCCTTTGGCAGACTGCATACATGGAGAAAATATCTTGGCCTGGAAAGATTCATTTGCCTTAAAACATTGTAATTGATAATGTATTTTAAAATGTTTGAGAATTTATCTGGCCTGTGTTGTTACTTAATAGAATTCTGTTAGGTTTTTTTCTTACTTTTATGCTAAAATATTTGTACTAGATACAGTGAATAAAGACAGGAAATATTTTTAATCCATTATTCAATCCAAGGTAGTGCCAACTCACCCAAGCAGATTAGTGCCAGCACTGTCAAAACCCTAATGCAAAACAAAGACAATCTACAGCCATAAGTATTAAATGATAATAAGTAATAAATTATTAATAAGTAATAAATTATGGGAATGCAAAAGGAATACTTAACCTTATTTTGGAGAGCACATGTTGAGAGAGGTGTCTTCTGGTTTCAGTTCTGTCTTTTTTTCAAGAAACAGCCTCAAAAGTAAATGCAGAGACATTTACATGGACTCTAATGCACATTATGGGAACTAATTAATGCTGATGCAAGTTCCCTGTGTGAAAGGCATTGAACAATCAGGCAGGTAATTGTGAGCTTACAGGCAAACTCATGGCAGAAATTGGGGCAGAGAATTGTGCCAAGAGCCTGGGAAGTTTTTTTTCCTCTGCTCCCGAGCTCATACTTTACAAATTTCAGGCAACTTGGCATGTCTCCTAGGAAATGAATTGTAATTAATGTTGGGGTTTTCTCATGTGTGTATATGTATTTATTGTTGCAGGAGCCCCTTGGGACAAATGAGCCTCCACATTTGGTAAGTTGGCATTACATAACAGTCTCTAGTACTAAACTACACTTAATAATTAATGTTGAATGCCTTGCTTCAGGTGATATCTCAGTAATTTCAGGTGATACTTCAATATTGTCACCTTGCTGCAGCAGATCAGTGATGGAGGAAACTGGTAGATAGATAAAAATAAAGTCTGCTAAGTGTTCTGCTCTTAGCTTTATTCTGGATCAGACCCTTTATTATTCTATCCCCAAAAATGTATGTAGTCCAATAGGCTTTGAGTGACATTGGATCTCTGTAGCTATTGATTCTCCTTTTCTTTCCCTCTTGTTTCTAGAAACTCACCATCCCATCCATTCATCCTTCTATTTATGGATTTATGGCAGATTTTAGTTCCATTATTTTTCATTGCATCCTGTTTCTCACTCCTTTTTTTATGTGTGAGGTGAAGATGAAAATATAAACTGCAGAAAAAGGAACTGCACATTTCAAACCTGCAAATGCATCAGCACCTGGAAGTTGGGTTTTTTATTTTACATGCTGGTATTTCTGCTTTCCAAAGTCTTCCAAGCAGGAGGACTCCTTAAAGTTCCCTTTTTGTTACAGTAACATCAGAGCTTAACTGGACACATCCTGATCATGATAAATCTGTGATAAATCTGTCAGGATACATCCTGACAGTTTCCCTGAAAGTTTTCTCTAACTTGGTGATAACTTACTAAGAGAAAGCAGTCCCTATAAATTCACTCTGAGTCTCAAAAATGAGTTAGTTTAGGGTCTTACACTCTGGTCCTTACCTTACAAGTTATATTCCATTAATGGACCTTTGAGTTATCTTTCTGAAACACAACCCTGCTCTGTGTTCATCACCGTGTGTGCTCTGTGTTCCCTGCAATGTTCTGTCCCAGCAGGGCTCTTCTCTTGTCCAGCATGAGTTTTTTGATTGATCTTTTTTCTGTCCTGCTAGCATGGGTGATGATCTGAGTGATTTTACTGCTCTCCATGGCATGCTTTTAATTAAGCAAATTTGGGAAAAATTATTTCAAGAAACATGACTTATTCTCAGACAAAAGATATTTTAGAGCTCTGTGGTTCTGTTTCAGCACACTTAAGTATTTTGTCATCTGGACACAATTTCTCTCTTTCTTGCTTAGATGGGAAATGTTGTGCATTGTGTTACTTAGCAGGTGGACCACACCCTCCTTTTTCTCCAATTCTACCATTTTATGATTAACCCAGGACTACAGGAAATGTTTCCTGTCTGAAGACATAATTGGTGTATTATTTTAGCCTTAAACACTGACTTCCTGCCCAGCCTATTCACATGGCAGTTTGCAGCCAAATCCAAAGACTTGCAAGTATGTTCATCAGAGAGCCTTGCTAAATGATATCAGATAAAATAACTGACTCAGATAAAACTGGTGGGGTCTAAACAGTTGAAGATAATTTTATTTTCATCTCAAATTCTTATATTTTTTGGGATGTCCTAAAATCTGTTCTTCGAGTGTATTATTGCAGTGTTGCAGACCTTGGAGATCAGTTCAAACCCTTGAAGTTTCAATAAGTTGTGCTTTACAGGCTTTTTTATTTCCAGAAAAGTGAAAAAACACCTCTGTTTGTGTATATGCACAGACACCATGTACTGGATTGTATTTTGCCTCTTGTGGTATTTAATAATAGTCTTAACACCATTTGTGAAGAAATTACTATCCTGACTTACCACAATCCTGGTTTTCATAGGATTCTGCCTTAGGGCTAGGGAGGAAATAACATATTTCGTATCACTACAGTTCTTAGCAGAGGGGAAATATTTTGAGTAATTTTTAATGGGAAAATATTTAATCACTTAGGATAAGCAAAAGACAGACCCTTAGATAAACACCGAGAATTTCACATTCAGAGTAAAATAAAAGTTTTCTGCATGAAAACCAGTCTCTTAGTTTGGAACTTCTAAGAATGGTGCATATGAGCTGGCAAATCCTTAAACACCCTGATGTTTGACTCTTGAGTAAGTCAAATATTGGGTATTTTGAATGATTATACATTCTTCCACCTTTAATAAGCATATGTCTGAACTAAGGGAGCTGTTTGCAGTGTCTGTAAGAGTGTGCCTTTTTTTCATTTGTGTTCTTATCAGAAACTGAAAAGAAGCAAAATTTTCTTACATCTCTGAATGACTCCCCTGACCTTTTCTGCCTGCCAAGCTTCCTAATAAACCAACTACATAGAGTGTAAGAAATCACCAACTCTGCAAAGCCATTCATTTCATTTATTAAAATAAAGCTTTGCTCAGCAAGAACAAAGCCTTTTTCAACAGCAGGTGACTTGTAGAGACAATGTAGGAAACAGATAATTGCTGGGCAACCCTGCATTTGTACTTTAATATTCTGTCCTTTGGCTTTTTGGGAAGCAAAACCTCACACATTAATGTCAGACCCTGACAAAGTGGAGATGGCTGCAGTTGGAGACTAATTGCAGTGTTTGCACTGAGGAATCACTGCTCCACCCCAGCTTCTGTCAAATTAAGACCCTCATTCATTACCAGATAAATTCTGTGTTAAAATGAGTAGTGAATCTTTTTTAAAAGCCTTGCATAGTACATGGCCTATGAAAGAGAGGCAGTGTGTATGTATATATATTCCCTTTTGTAAAGAGCTTGGAGATGAGTGGGTAGAAAATACAGTGTAATTACAGCTTAAATAGGTGCTTTGTGACATAGCAGTGCAGTTGTATTTACAGAAAAGTCAGTTACACTTTATTCATTTTATTGTGGCTGATCTCTCCAATTAGTGCTCATAGCCTGCAAGGCCAGCTTAAGCTTTTCTTGTTCTTTCTTACAGGAAACATTCATTTCTTTTGAAAACATAGACTGAACTTTTCCATAAAATCATTTGCTGACACTTGTGTTTGGCCTTCTCACTCTGTGCTGGCAAAAGCACTTGATTTCTTTTCTTTGGCAGGAAGCTTGGCCAATTTGGGGCATGAAGGGGGAAGTAGCTCTTGCAACAGCCATCATGTTTTTCTTCCATTACAGAATATGAGCTGTTCTCTTGATACACTTCAATTTTTCATTCTTTTCCAGCCTCTCTCTCAGGCTTTCAAATGAATTTCATCTCAGTTACACAGCGGTAGTCCAAGGGTACAGAATTCTGGGTGTCTGTGCTATAGATCATAGCCTACATCATACCAGGGTTTCTTCTTGTTTTGGTGGGGGCTTTAGGGATTTTTTTGTATTTTTTTTTGGTTTAGGTTTGTTTTGGGGCGGGTTTTTTTGGGTTTGTTCAGTTGGGCTTTTGGTTTATTTGTTTGGGGGAGGTTGGTTTTTTTGGGAAGTTGATTGGGGTTTTTTTGTCTGTTTGGCTTTTTCTATTTTACTTTTGCTGCAACTTTTTGAGCCTACTTGCTTTTTTGGTATAAACTGATCACACCTTACCTGGTGGGGTGTGGTTCACTGTGACTTGCAGTTCTTTACCATGACATTCAAAAGCAGCTTGGCTGAACCTCAGAGGTTGTTCATTTTGAGTTCCCTCAAAAATCCTCCTGCTGGTTCTGAAATTAAAAGTCAAGTGCAACCACTGTGATCGCAGAAGATTTCAGGGCACTTTGTCAATATCTCTGTCAACAACTCTGTATCTTTGACCAGCATTTCCCCATCCTGCTTTGAGCACTGGATTGCTGAGCTGTAGTGAGAGTTAAGCTGCAGTCCAGGATGGTTACAGCCTTGAGTCCTACTCTTCTTATTTGTGCTTCTCCTGTTGCAGTTGAACTTATACTTGATAACTCTGCCTGCCTTAGCACCACTGGGAAGCCTCCTGTGCCAGCCCAGAGATGACAAAATACTTGATATATTTCTAAAATAAAGCAGCTGTAGAAAATGTAAGAGATTCTTTGAATGACAATTCATTCAATTAATTGTTTCTTTGTGAATTGAATGGCTACTTCTCTGAGAGTACAGCTTTCTCTGTTGACATTAATGATAATGCCTTCATTTTCCTTCTAGTCATTGTTTTTGTTTTGTTTTGTTCTTGTAGCTCAAAGCTTTCAGTAATACACATTTCCAAGGAGCATGTGTAGATTTCACAGCAGAAGTTTCTGATTTTACATCATTCATACCATGTTCTTTTAAGGTTCTCCGGGGATGGTAAGTGTCTGTTGTTTTACATGCCATCATTTTCAGTATTATGAATTTTTTTTCAAATGTTATGAAATTTCAGACAACAGAAGGCACATAACACATGCCCATCATCTTTCATCATGTCTTAGACCCATTGTCCTGCAAGGCATCTCAGTAACTCTCATCCTGTCCTTGGTTTGGGTACTGGGCATTTTGCTCTCTCTGGGAAGGTTTGCACAGTTACCATGACTTTTTTTTTACTCCAGTTAGAATTTATTCCAGATTTTGAGAACTTTGGTACAGTGGAAGTGTCTGAATTCCATTCAACATTGTTTGACTCTGCAACTGAGGTTTCTGTACCACACAATTTGATTTTGCTGCCTTGGTTGCTTTGCTGAATAGGCTTTCAAGTCACCTTACTTAAAGCTTGACAAGAGCAAGGAGAATTTTTTATTCCTTTTGTCCTTAGCAAGTATTAATATTGAAAAAAAACATACTGTAAACAAGCAGCTAGAGCAGCTTATTTTTTTTGTTATTATTCTTGCAGTTGGCTCCTGTGTTACAAAGGGGAAACCACTGACAATCACTGTGTGCTGGAAGAAGGCCTCTATGTTGACCTCAGTTCCTGTGGCTGCCCAACTGCTACAATCAAATCCCTCAAGCCTATTCAATATGTAAGACTTTACTGGGGGGAAAAAATAACATTTTGGAACTCTTTTCCCTGTCAGATGTCTGAAGTGAGTACTTGCCCTAAACAAACTCCCAGTTAAGGAAAAGAGTGAGGTTTGTTTTCTTGGCTCACGGGATTTTTTGGGCTGGGAGCAGGTCAGGCTGTGTGCACACTTGCACGAGGTCACTTGTAGGGGGTGTTCAGGGTTTCAAGCTGTTCTCTTTTTTACAAGTGAGACACGAGATCCTCCATGGCCAGGGGGTTGGACAGGAATGCATTTTGCCCTCCAAAACAAGAGAGATACAACCTTTTTTACATCCCATTGCAATACTGCACACAGGATATACAGATCTGCAGCCTTGATGTGGTGTCTGTGCCTTTCTTCCACATCTTGGTGGGCTCTTTTTCAAGAGCATCAAAGATGAGCTGTAACGCTGTGGGTAAAAGAGAAGCAAGTGGTTTCTCTGCCCCCTTCTCTCTGGCACTGGCCACCAGCCTCTCCAGAACTCTTTCTCCTTCCCTGATCACAGGACACAAACTCAGCCTATGTGGTGTGTGTGTGTCCTTCAGTGCAACTCCTATGGAGCTGGACTTCTGGGGTTACTCAGTTCAGCTTTTCCACATATGAAGTCCTTTTTACCACTTATGAACAGATTTTAAAAAGAAAATAAAAGAAAAAAAATCCCAACCAACCAAATGAAGAAAAAAACCCCAAACCCCAAGCAAATGCAAACACCAAACCCATGGGCATGGTGGGAAGGATGTACAGCTCAAATTTGAGAGCTGGACTTCTCACTGGACTGTACAGATACAGTGACTTCCCACCTGCTGAGAGCCTGGGTTTTAGATTAAAGTTCTCCTTTTCAAGTTAAGCTTCTGGACTCTGCTGTGCCAAATCCAAGTCAAGTTCTGACATCAAATAATAGTAGGCCTCATCCAAATCTCCCTGCCTGTAATCTCACAGGGAAGTAAACATGAAGTTTGGCATGGTAGGAGACTGCTGGCAGCCCTTGTTTCCCAAGGGCCAGGCCCTGGAAGAAGTTTGTTTGGCAGGCTGTGTGTGGGGAGCTTGCACACATCTTCTCTGCTTTTGCACCTCTTAGTTTAGTTCTTCTCTTGCCAATAGTAGCCCTTGTATTTCACAAATTCCAGGCACTAAACAGCATAAAATACCACTGATCTCTACCTGTTTGTCCTCAGAGCCCCCGGGGCAGTGCTGGGGACCCTGGTGTGGCACAGACGTGACCCAGAGCACAGAGCAGGTCACGGCCAGGAGCAGCCACAGGTCATTCTGAGCATTGTCCACAGTTCTTGGAACAGAGCCCCTTCTGTTACAGCATGTTTCTGTTAGCTCATTCCAGAGAGGAGCAAGGCTGTTCCCAAGTGGAATTGTTGTGTAGCTGTATTGAATTCATTTGTGGTGTTGGGAGCCCCTTGCATTATTCAGCTTTGAATACCAGCCTCATTTCAGAGCTAAGGTGTGTCCCCTGGGAGCTTATGTGTGAGAAGGAGAACTTTTAACCCTGACACCAAGCCCTGGATGTGCTTTGTCTCCTGCTCTCCTTTCAGGGAGATGCAATTGCTGCAAGTGGAACTGTGGAGGAGTCCCACGCTGGGAACATTCCATTTGTTCTATAGAAAATGCAGCTTTGATGGAAACAAACTATTTGCAAACAAATATAACTGCACTAAATGGGGAAAAAAGTTCAATTTTTCTATTTAAGAAAGTAGACTTTTGATTTTTAGTTTGAAAACTCACAGAAATGTAATGTGCCTAAGAGCTTAATTGCATAACAAAATTAAAATTTTCTTCTAAATCACTGAGTTGGTTCAGCTAAAATAAAATAAAATAAAAAAACAACTTTCAGAGCAACACAAAATGATTTGGATAAGAAAATAGGCTCGCACTAGTGATAGGTTGATGATTTCACTGCAGTTACAGTATTTTAGGTTGGCTAATTTTTATCCTAGCTCTTAGCTCTTGGAGGGATGTTTTATGTGTTGTCTGGTGAAAAGTGAATTTGTCAGCATTTAAGTACATTTTTTAGGTATGGCATGCTGGTCCCACACCCTCTGCACACACACTCTCCCCTTTCACAAGAAATTCAAGTTAATGTGGTTCCACTTTGCTTATTTCCCCATTTATTGTGCACTGGCATCATGGAGGAATTCAGCACATCTTTGCAACCAATTTCCTCTGTTCTTGATTATGTTTCCTCTCTCCCATCACACCTTACTCTCCAAAGTGTGTCAAGCCAAATCTTTAGGAGGCCCTAGCTGTGCTTTTTTCCTGCTGTTTCATTTTGCTCAAATACAGGTTGGACTGTTTCATCATCCTCAGAGCATTTAGGAAAAGCTGTGGAGTAACAGGAGGGTACAAAGAAGGAATAACTGACACTGATGCCATTTGCCTCTCATCATCTCCTTTCATCAAAAGATCCAAAGCACTCTTCCAGCAAAGCTTGTTGATGAAATGTGCTGTTGTATTGTTGTTAAGAGCCCTCCTGCAGGCAGGTGAAAGCCTAGCACAGGTTCAGAGTTGCTGCAGAGGTGCAGGTTTCTGTGCCTGCATCAGCAAAGTCTCGCCTTTTGCACTGTCATGGGTTCATGGAGAGGAAATGTGGGCCCTTGCCCAGCTCCAAGAGAGCAGGTGAAGGCAGCTGGGCTGTTTATAGGGCCATGGTTGCTTACTGGGACACTTGTCCAGTGTTTGCTGCTTGAGGAGGTTAGTCTTTTGGGATAGAGAAAGGGAGTTCAGCTCTGGTGCTGCCTTTCCTCAGCTGTGTTGTTTTGACAAAATCCCTGTCATATTTGGTGATATTTACATGGACAAGAATGCCCAGGATGCTTGCAATGAGCAATTAGCTTTCCTTCTAAAGTGTTACCTTCAACCTGTAAATTAACAGTCTCCTAGTTTCTAAAACAAAAAATGAGATCCAGGTTATAGGTTGTGCAATGCTTTTTTTGTTTGATTGTTTGTTTTTTTTCTCTTTTCTTGTGAGGTATTCTTTATTCTTGCTCTTATCAATTGTGATAATACTTGTATTTCTATATAATCTTCTCTAAGTTAAATACAGGTGTTAACTAATCACCCCAGCATTCCTGTGAGGCAAATAAAGAAATCAGATGCAAAAACTACCTGCAGTTTCCCAGGGCCAGGCACTGAGTCACTCTCTGTGGCTGGGACTGGACTGTGGGCATTGCATTGTCCAGGCATCCATCCCACACTGAAGGGAGCAGCCAGGCAGGAGCAGCTCCAGCAGAGGCACTTGTCAGTGATGAGCTGGCCAGGCCTGGAGAGTAAAGATTTTCCAAGGATGGTGTGACACAGCTGTGGAGCCTCCCCCACTTCAGGCTCTGGTAAATGCTCTTTGCAAAGCAGCAGCTCAGCAGCAATGGGCAGAGCCCCATCCCTTGCCATAGCTGGCTTACACCCAGCCTGTGGTCTGGCCCCTTGCATTTCTCCCCTTGCCTTGTTAGGTTTCCCCAGCAAAGTTTGCAAAAACTAAGTTAGCAAAAAAAAAAAAAGTGTGAGGGAAAATATGTTTTGGGGATTTTTTTTGAAAAGTGATGGACACTTTTCAAAAGGGCATTATTAGTAAAAATTCTCACAAGTTTCATAAGGAAAAATTATCCAGAGCTAATATTATGCTTTTTGCTCTGACTCAGCCTTTGGTCTGGCCCTCTGCATTTCTTCTTTTGCCTTTCTTAAGCTTTCCCATCAAAGTTTGCAAAACCTAAGTTGGCCAAAAAATTACATGTGTGAGGGAAAATGTGTTTGGTTTTGTTTTTTTTTTTAATGGACACTTTTCAGAAGGGCATTATTAGTAAAAATTGCATGAAAAAACAGGACAAGCAAAGCCTCTTAAAATGTTATAGGTGCTGGTTTAAGCTAAGGCAGTCAGTTCCTTCATACATAAAAATTGTTAAGAAATTTCATGTTAAGAAATTCTGTAGTGCTTTGATATTGTTACAATTGGCAAGCTTTTCCCAAAGCATGGCATTTCAGGTATTTTCCTTTAAATAACTGTGAAAAGAAGCTGAAGTAATGCTGACCTAGACATAGGAGTGGGCAAATATAGATAGCTTTGGCTCACCTTTCAGGTGAAAATGTTCCTCAGCATTCTGCAAGAAAGGCTGGGAACAAGATGCCTCCCAGCCTAACAGCATAGCCCCAGACCTTGTTTTTCACTGTTCCCAGTTTCCATGGAGCTGTGAAAACAAAGTCAGAGAAAAAAGCCAGGCCAAAGTCACTGCTGCCAGCTGTTGGCCTAGAAGAGAAGGCAGAAGGTGAGGAATCAGTGCAGTGCTCTATATATGGCTGTGGAACAGGAGAGCTCAGGGCTTGGCACTGCAGCCTGGTTTCTTTCTGGACTTTGTGTCTGCAAGGTCACTGCATCTCTGCTGAGGTCTCCCTGGGACAGAGGGACCAGAGCCACCAGTGGTGTGTGTCAGGGACTCTGAGCAGCTGGGCAGGGCTCTCAGAGCTCTCAGTCCAAGCAGACACAGCCACAGCAGAGCTGGAATCAGTTTAATTGACTCCAGCAGTTTGCTGCTGTGGTTCCTGGTGTGTAAGTGGATGTCCTGGGCCAGGTGACTTGTCCATCTGGTACAGCAGCCCTGTCCCTTAACATCCTCAGTGTTGCAACAGCAGGATCAGTATTTAGGTTTGGGCAGTAATGTCCTGCACCACAGATGCCAAATGGTGTTTCTCATGGTTAGCAAGGCACTTATGAAAATTTGGGCTTGTTCTGGTGTCCACTCAGGTGAAAGGCAGTGCCAGGGCTCTTTCGAACAGAAGTGTGATGATTCTGCCTGGCTGAGCAAAGCAGCCCCAGGAGTAGCTGCCTGCCCTAGGCCTGCTGGTCTGGCTTTCCTTTAGCCACCCACTGTAAATCTGATCCACCCCGTCCAGCAGGAGGCACTTGGGAAGAGCGACATTCCAAAATAAAAACATTGCAGGTTTTGATCCCCTTCTGGTGTGTAACATTAGATTTTGGGAGTACAGTAGGCTTTAAAAAGCTGTCTGAGTTGATGATCCCGTGCTCTTCAAAATGTCTCGGTGAGCTCTCTGTCCCTGCAGTGTTGCATGACTTGGGCTGTCCCTGCAGTGGCTGGCAGAGGCAGGCACAGTCTGACCAACCAGCTGCATACCAACTGCACTGAGTCAGTGTCAGGCAAATTCATGTGTCCTGACACACCCCTGAGCCTTTCAGAGACACTTCCCTACACTATATGTGCCTTTCAAACATGAAAATTAATTTCCCTTAATTGCTCAGTGCCTGTGTCAACTTTAATTCAAGATTTTGTTTCATTTATTTCACCTGAGGCCATGTCTTTGCTGCAAGAGAAATCCCAGATTTTGCCTGAGCCAGCTATCTCAGGGTCACATCTCCTAAAAGAAGGTGCCTTTCCTGGAGAGGCAGCTCACTGACTTAGTCAGACCTGTTCCCTCTTCCTTTCCACGTGTAAACTGCAGGTCCTTTTGCTTCTGGTTTTAGGTTAAAAATGCTGAAGCATTGTACAAGTATTCCTTGTACTCGGGCACAGAATTTGTGTATTTAAATCTGCTTCCTCTGTTTTTCTGCTGGCCTTATAGCTGCACCACATTTTCATGCAAACTGATCTTTTTATTTGCTTTCACAGGCAATCTGTCAACTGCAGAAAAGGGCATTAAGTGAAAAATGTTTCAATTCTGCATGAGATTATAGAATTGACTTATTATGCTCTTCCTTCAAGATTGACAGAAAAAATAGGAATGTCTGTTAAAAACACTGAGAACCTTTTAGTTGACATTTCTGACCTTTTACAATTTGTAGCTGCTTAAAATGTTTGCAGTGAACTACAGCTAGTTGAAGTCTGTGGGCAGTAGACTTTGATTTGACTCACTATTTTAGATGCATGTTCCATCAATAAGGAAATAAAGTGGATTTTTGAAAAGCAATCAAGGATACAAATCAGATCAAAATGAGTTTTTCCAAACAGAGGCCTCTGCATCACTTGGTGGCTCTGTGCCTGGCCTGTGTCAGTGGGGCACTACAGTGATGACAAAGCCACTGATAAATGCAGTTTGTTTCAGCTCTGTGTGCTGTGGGGTTTTCCCTTGTTGCATTTGCTGAGGGAGCACAAGCTAACCCAGAAGCATTGTAGGAAATTCAACTGAAGTGGGCCAATGTGTGCATATGTCTAACAACTGAAATTGTACTGTTCCCACTAAAACTTTCTGCTTTTTTTTCCTCCTTCCTCCTCCCCAGGTTTTTGCTGAGCCTTCCATCAGCCTGTTCAGCCTGGAATGCTGCAAGGGCAGGGAGCTGCACTTCAGTGAAGCAGTCAATTCTGTTTTGAACGAGGACCTTCATTTTTACACCCAGTCTGTGTGGGTGAGAAGTGGATTGTGAGTATGGAAGAAATATCCCTGCCAGATTTGCACTGTAGGAGCTAACACTGTCTCATGAATATTGCCTTGTTCATAGGATGGTTTACATTCTTAACTTCTGTTCTGAGGCACAGACTTTACAAGGCAGGTAGTGTAAACTTGGAGTGCCTTTATTAACAGGCTGTAAAATGCCAGCTGTAAACTGCAGTGATTTGAACTACTGCAGTGGCTCGGGGGAGCTTGCTGTGCTGACTGGCTGCCAGAGAAGCAGCAGCTTCTGAGAGGAGCTCAGGGTGGATCTGACAGCTGGGACAGCTTTTTGCTTCTGTTATTAGTTTAACTCTTCTCCAGGAGTGTGAATGTACACCCAGGTTCTTCTGTGAAAACATTTTACATCTGCAGCAGTGTAAAATGCTTCTTCTACATCTCTCCCTTTCAACTTTTGGAAGAGCTTCCAAGTGTTCTGTTTTCAGCCAGGTTTTCAGCCTCCACACCCACAGCAGCAACAAATAACTTGCAGAGTCTCATCCTGCAACTGAGAGTGGCTGGAAACTGCTGTTCTCCTAATGGGACACACACTTCCTATGTTTATCTTTGACCTTTCCCCACCTTTTCCACACGGGCAGGGCTGTAATTTTCTTGAGAGAATAGAGAATAAGCTTCCCCACAGAGCTTTGCCAGTTCACAACAGTTCCCACCATTTGTGCCACTTCCAGCCTGAACCTTTGCTGAAAATGCAGAAGTGTGTGTTGTCTGGAAATTCAATCCCTTTGCCCCAGCAGTTGGCTGAAGGAAGGGTGATGGCTTTTTGAGCACGTGGCAAGAAAGCCCAGGAGAGTGAGTGCACCAGGCCAGCCCCTCCTGCACCTTTCTGCTCATTTTTGGGTGTCCAAGCCAGGTTAGGTGCTTCCCTGTCTCTGGGACAGGTTCAGGGCAGAAATGCTGGGTTTAATCTGAGCTCTTTTGGATGCTTCCTGGGAAAGAGAGTAAAGATTTTCCAAGGATGGTGTGACACAGCTGTGGAGCCTCCCCCACTTCAGGCTCTGGTAAATGCTCTTTGCAAAGCAGCAGCTCAGCAGCAATGGGCAGAGCTCCATCCCTTGCCATGGCTGGCTTACACTCAGCCTTTGGTCTGGCCCTTTGCATTTCTCCCCTTGCCTTTCTTAGGCTTTCCCATCAAAGTTGGCAAAACTTAAGTTGGCCAAAAAATTACATGTGTGAAGGAAAATATGGTTTTTTTAAAAGGGATGGACACTTTTCAGAAGGGCATTATTAGTAAAAATTCTCACAACTTTCATAAGGAAAAATTATCCAGGGTGAATATAGTTTCTGCTCAAAGCATGTGTGCAAATTCACCTGTGCACTTAGTTCTCAGTTCTAGTGCCCTTTGGTCCTCTCCTTTCTGTCTGTACACTACTGAGGAAGCTCACCTTGCACTCATCCTTGTTTCATCTCAATCACTTCATGCTTGTATTGTGGCTTTTTCCCTGAGCTGGTGAAGCATAAAAATCTGTCCTGAGTTGTGAAAAATTATGTTGCACAGCTTTACTAAAAGCAAAGTAAAAATTATTGAGGGGAAAGTCTGAGCGGAGTTGAACTGTGCAAGAGATTTTTGGTGTGTTGAATTTTACTGTTGATTTTCCATGGTTTACCTGTGCCATTTTCATTGCACCATGTGCTGTGTTGGCCACAGAACACCACACCTGTTAAGTAAAGTGTATCAGTGTATTTAACAGTTCACAGGAGACTTCCACAGCCTGTCCCCATCCCACAGCAGACAGGTAGCCTAAAGTCTGAGGGTGTCAGGTGATTGTGGGATGTCCTAGAGGGTTTGTTTGCCTTATCTGGGATTCAGAGTTCAGGAAGGCAGATTTGGAGGGTTTTTCTGGTTCCTGGTCCCAAAGCCTGCTGTCATCTTTGGGCAAATAGCAAAGATTTATTTATGTAAATACTTCTATGGCATCTTGCTGCCAGGCTTAGGTAAAAGGCTCCTTCCTGAGCCAACTGGGCACCTCAGTAAGGCACAAACCTGGAATCTGCCTTAGCAAAGGGTGCTGGGGTTCTCTGAGAGGTGGCACAGCCTGTGTGAGAGCAGAGATGGGATTTTCCTGTGTCACTGAATGCCAGAAGCCCAACCTGCCTTCAGATGGTGACCACTCTAAGTCTTTCCCCTCTCTGTTCCCTCTAAATGTTTGCTTTGAAACTGCATTCCACGTGGGACTGTTCATGCTCCAAGAGTAATGTTGACAGTGAATTCTCAGTGACTTGACAGAAACCATTGCAAGGTAAAAAAAGCCAGGAATGTGTTCAAAGTATAAGGAAAGCACAGGGGTGCTCAGGCTGCCCTCAATACCTGTTGGTCAGGAGGTGTGGACTTAGTTTGAAGAAACAGGGACCCAGCCTCATTGCCACAGCTGGCACAGCTGAGCCTCCATGGAAGCCTGAGCAGGGCTGGCTCTCAGCTTCTCTGAGTTGTGGGCACTGGGCAAAAGCAATTCCAGGTGCTGTGAGGCTGTGGGTGTTTCCTCACTGACTCAGAGCACAGCCATCCCTCGTGTCCCTGGCAGCTGACCTGTACAGCAGGTAACCTGGGAAACCAGCCCTTGCTTTGTACTCAGAGGAGTTAATGAGTCAGGCATTTAGGAGTCACTGTCCACACAGCAATGTGCTATTGATACAGACAGAAGGGATCTGTGCTCCCGAGGCTGCCTTTGTCAGCAGCATTTACTGAGCAGATGCCCAGATAACAAGAGGTCTGTGTGAGCCAGTGCTTTAACTGGGTGTTACAGGACCCAGCCACGTCCATGGTGTATTCCTGACAGGAAAATCTGCTGCAGCAGGGTGTGGGGGTTGGAGTGAATACCTGTAATGTGTTTTCAGACAAGTGGAGTTGTATAAAAAGCTTTAACTGTAACAAAAGCATCAGACAAGATCCTCTCATAATTAATGTACACAGCCAGGCAAAGGTGCAAGTGTGGCTCCCTAGTTTCCTAACACAGGCCTAGCTGAAACCAGCATTATTCCCATCTGGGCTCATGCAGAGGTTCTCCTTTTTGTGGGGAAAAAAATGGAGGGGGAGATGGTAAGTGTAGTTTACAAATTTTAGGCAGGCAGACAGAAAACGGGTCTGAATTCCAGCAGAAGGCAGTCATCCCACTGAAATGGATGGCATTTTGCAGCACAGAAAGAGAGGCATCACTGTGGAGAGCTTTGGGGGCTTCCAAGAGCACAGCTCTGACCTGCAGTTTAGTTTTGCTGCGGATAACAAGTGCCCTTTGACATTGTTTCGTGTATCCAGGTGGATTGCCTACGAGGGATGCAATTTTTTAGGCAAGCAGATTCTGCTGGAGCCCAGGGAGATTTCAAACTGGAGTGAACACAGTGGCTGGAAGGCGATTGGCTCCCTTCGTCCTGTGAAGCAGGTACTGTAAGGCTGAGTGAGGAAAAGGGCTTTTTATGGACAGGGGTTTGTGCACAGGTATCAGTTCTACCATCAAGCACATTGGGGTGTGTTGTACTCCTTAAATCAGGCCTAGTGATGACACCAGAAGGACCCACACTGAAGATTGCTGAAGCAGAAAATGCCTCTTGCAGCAGTTATTGAGATGTGTTAGGTTCCTAAAGGGAAATAATTCCCAGTTTCTTGGTGCCAAGTTTTGTTTTTTCTGCATTGCATGTTCTGTGGATGCTCTATTTTTACATTTTTGCCATATAACAATATAATGAGGAAACCAATTCCACACTGGCTTATTTCACAGTTAACATAAATGGAAACAAGAGCAAATTTTATTGTGCTGTAGCCTGGTTTTCCAAAAGAGGCAAAGCTCATGCAGTTCCCGTCAGGTTTTCCTTCTCTGTCTCACCCCAGGTAATTCCAATTTCAGCCTCATTCAAAGATTCAGGGCTCTAAGCCACAAAGAGTAACTACTGTCCTGATACAGGTTTTGTTTACGGATGCTTGGTGGGACAGAGGCCTTATTGTCTGTAACTCAGGGTTTGTTTTAATGTGGAAAAAAAGGAGATGTAAAGCTCCCAGGAAAAAAGCTGTGCTGGAGGAGTTGGGGTTCCAACAGAGCTGCCCTTTATAACTCCCTGCTCTTTATTTGCACTGAAATCAGTGAATAATAGAGCAAAAGCTCAAACCCTGCAGTAGCCCTGCAAAATCCTCTTTATTTTTTGAGAAAACCAGTAAACAGGGATACCAGGTCAGTGCCCTGTTTTCCATGTATATTCAAAAACAGCGGTGCATTTGTCTGCCATATATTCCAGTTAGTAAGGGCTCAAGTTGCTGGATATGTAACTCAGTAAGCTTTGTGTCCCAAGAATTAAAAGCTTGTGGAGTACAGCCCCTTTACTGCCCTTGGAACGAGTGAAATGTGCTGAACTAGGCATATTTGCAGATCACAGGAATTAGTTCTATAGCCATAATTACATTCTCTGCAAAAAGACCTATCTACCATTGCTGTTTATAGCTGCCCATCTGCATGTGAAAAACCACTTACTGTGCTTCACATGCACGTTGGTTTCCAACCAAAAAATTACTGAACATCCTCAAATGAGAACAAAGATGAAGCATAGATGGAGGGGAGGATGGTGGAGGGGAGGCCCTCTCACATCAGTTTTCTTGATCTCTGTGTTGTGAATCTCTTCCCTGACCCCCCTGCAGCCAGCAGTGTACCTGAGGGTGAGGAACAGGGCCCAGGGCAAGTACCTGACCGTGGCTGGGAGCCTGGCAGACATCCGGGCCACCTCGGTGTGCGCGGCCCCGCGCAGCCGCAGCGACTCCCAGCTCTGGCACTACTGCCAGGGGCTCCTCAAGTCCAAGGTGAGTTTCAGTGTGGTTTTCCACTAATGCTGCCCTTGATGGTCTGTTATTAATATTTAAAAAAAACTGAGGGTTTGACATTAAAAAAATGAAGGAACAAAGATCACCCCCTTTGATCAAGCCAGTCGGGTGTTGAATAATCTGTTCCTCGCTTGCTTCCCATGATTTACTGCCATATGCTCAGTGCCTGAGACAAGTCAGGCACAGAACTGAGGCTCTGTGGCCTGGATCTCACTGCTCTGGATCAAGTAGCTGGTCGGGTGTTGAATAATCAGTTCCTTGCTTGCTTCCCATGATTTACTGCCATAGCTCAGTGCCTGAGACAAGTCAGGCACATAACTGAGGCTCTGTGGCCTGGATCTCACTGCTCTCCTTGCCTCTTAGGCCAACAACACCTGTCTGGATGTCATTGGGGGCAGAGACGTGCCTGGGGCCAAAGTTGCCCTCTGGACAGAACACGGGAGGGACAGGCAAAAGTGGAGACTTAACGAGGATGGAACCATCACTTCATACCTCAGTGAGCAACTGGTGCTTGATATTAAAGGTATTGAAAAACAAAAACTCTCAAGCTCACAGGTTTTAAGTGTGTATTTTGATTAAGAGTAACTCCCACAGTCCAGCTTTTTGGTTTTTTTTTCCTTTGTACTTAAGGTCAGAAACTGAATCCTACCTTTCCTGGTTAACTCCCACAGTCCAGCTTTTTGTTTTGTTTTTTTTTTCCTTTGTACTTAAGGTCAGAAACTGAATCCTACCTTTCCTGTCCAGTTGCTTGACAGTGGGACAAGAAACAGCAGGGCAGGGAGGAACCTTTCTCTTTTGATTCCAGAGGTTCATTTTGCTCAGATGAGCTGTTGTGCCTTGGGGGGTTAAATAGTGCAGATGGCAAGGAGTGCAAGTTACAGAAGACAAAGTGGTGAAGGAAAATCAACCAAAGAGTAGCTCAAAAAGAGAAAAGGAGCTGAAAAAAGAAGGCTGGTTAAAATTGTCACTGCTTAGTTGCAGATACCAACCCCCTACCTCATGGAATTCCTGTTTTTCAGCTGATTTTCCTACTTAGTCACATTTCTAAAAGATTGTATATAATTTTTATGAGTATTTCTTTCAAAAGCTTTTCCTTCATTACTTTCTTTTGTTTTTAAGGAGGAAATTACTATGACAAGAATCACATCATTATGAATCAGCCAGTAGAAAACAAGCCTTCACAGAAATGGGATATTGAAATATTGTGAGTAAAATCCACCCCACAGATGGACTTTTTGTGGGCTACCAACATGTAGAGGGGAAAAAAGAACCCAACTACTGAAGTCATACACCACTGGAACCATAAGCAGCAACTCCTATTTTCCTTCGTGCCAAGCACCAGCTCCTGAAAGAACTGAATTTTGCACAAATCTGGAAGATGGGAGGTTGATCCAATGTCTCTCTGCAGGGAAGCTGGTTCTGCAGAGGCTGCTCCTGTGAAAGCCACCATTACTTTTCCTCTGAAGTATGAAAGGTAAATGCAAAAGAGCAGGCAGAGGTTCTGCAGCATGGGAAGTGCAAGAGATGAGGGGAAATGCTGTCTTTGCCTTCCTCTCACCCTGCTGGAAGCTCACTGAGGAGTGAATGCACTGATGAGCTTCAAGGAACTTGAGCTGGGCTTTTATGTCCCAAGTGAAACTGTTCAGGCTCCAAGCGATCCTGAATCATGTCTCTCATTGAAATGCAATTTATTTTGTTCATAAGGACACCTTTGAACTGGAATTCCAGCTCAGCATGTGAAATGAGGCAATACAGGGGCCTTTCACCCCCTAAATGATACTGGTAAGCCTTTGTCTTCTCTGCTTTTAACAGCACCAAAACCAACTCACCTTGGTGTGTATTTCCAAAGGTGCCAGCAGCCTGCACTGCAGGGCTGGCTTCATGTTCCCAGAGCAGCCTGGGGACAGCAGGGTCACCGTGGCACCAAGGACAGCTGATGGTCACAGCTCGGAGTGCCAGGGCTCTCCTCAATTTCCACACTATGCAACCACAGCTATTGCTCCAACAGAGCCAGACCTCACTGCCTGCAGGTGCTGCTTGAAAAGCTTTTCCTGGCTCTGCCACAGCCCCTTGGAAGGCTGTGAACACCTGAGGTGGAAGAGAAGTCCCTCAGCTCCCCGGCTTCAGCAGCACTAAATTCATCTTCATTGAAAATGGTTTTTTTTCCAGCATTTGTACATTCAGGGTATGTATTTCTAGGACTATTTAAAGAGTTCAGGTTAGCTGAAGACAGATATTCCAAAAGCTGTGCCAGCTGTGCACTCAAACAGGATCATCCCCAAACAAAGACAAAACTCGAAATTTGCCACAGAAATAAAATATATGGATGTCTATTTTTGTATGAAATTGAGTTCTATATAGTACTATTTAAAAAAAATCTACTTGCACTTACTATTTTACATTCTAAAATTATCATAAATTTGCTGTTTGAGTAAGATCCTCAAATGTATGTATATATTTTTTCAACTAAAGCACTTAAGCTTTTTTCCATATAAGTCAGTACATCAAGTGTTCTGCATGTGACTTTCCATATGAAATTTTAAAAGCCTGTGTAAAAAGTTGTAGTTTTTTAAATGAAGAATGACTAAATCATACTTGGTGTCTCAATGTTACATAACAAAGTAAAGCAGGCTTTTGTACTTAAGAGACCTTGAATGTAAAATGCTAAAGCATGTATATTTTAACTGTATAAAACTTTTTAGGAGAAACATTTTGCTGGTTGGTTTCTTTTTAAACAAACCACATCATAGTTTTCAGCAGGTGTTGAACACATTGCTGTAAAATATTTCTTTTCCAGTGTCCAAAAAATGGGGGATAAGTATATTGAATATGTGGCTGTGCTGTTACATGAGATTGCATATTAAAAATCAATGAAGTATTAAAGTAACTGCACCAGACTCATCAAAACCCACTCAAGAGAATATTGAAGATATAGATTCCAGCTACAGGTTTTTGGATTACTTGCACTGGGGGAGGTAGAGGATAAATTTTATTGTTTGTTTATTCCAGGGATGGCAGCATCTGAGGGAAAGAGGTGTTTTCTTGGGCAAAGTCTTCCCCCTGTGGGAACAGCACACACAGCTTTTACCAGGAAGCTTTTGTTCTGTCAGGGCAATCAGACAGATTTGCCTGCTGATGAACTTCACAAATGAAAAAAAAAAAAACCAAGTTAATGTTTTATGCCCAAGGTTTTGGAGCCTGTTCCATGTATAACTTTAGGTGTCCTCCACATCCCAGCAGCTCTCCAGAGAGAAGAGGACACCACAGCACTGGGGTACTTAGGAGTGACTTCATCCAGCCACAGACCTGGAGCTGTGGCTCACTTACCTGTTTTTCCCAATGCCCATTTTCCCAAAAGTGTGGAAGGACAGCTAACATTTGGCACCAGAACGTAGCCAAGATATTGCAATGCTTTGTTAGCACTACAAACCAGAGCCTGGATGGATTAAAAAAACCTAATTTAATAAACCTTGGTCTCAAGAGATGCCTAATAGCCAGGAGCAGCTAATTCACAGAAGCATCAAAGAACTTCAATCAGACATTCAGTCCAGAGTGACAAGGCCAGGTTTTCTTTCTCTGCATCTGAGGTAAGGTTAAGCTCTTTAACAGTAACAGTGCTGCTACTCCAGATCTGCTTCAGTGCATCCAAGTATGACAAAGGGAACCGCAGCCCGTGAGTCTGCTGGGGAAAAAGAGACAGAAAAAACCCCTGAGCAAAGTGCAGTGACTTCATTACACACCAGTGTGTGAGGCTGTGGGGAGGGAGCAGCAGCAATGTGCTCAATTCCCACAGCACACTCCTGTTCCTGAGAGCAGCCCCCAAAAAATCCAGTTTTATCCAAACATATTTTACTGAGAGGTAACTCTTCTGTGCTGTAGCACATTTTACAAGGTAGGGATGTTTATGGCACATGTGCCATCCTCCTCTGGTTTCCACAAAGAAGAAAAAAAATTTAAATTACACTCTTGCTAACCCTTCCCATTATTTTAGCAAGGTCACAGAGCTTTATTTCTAGCTGACACATGCAGTCTTTGGGCACAGAAGCAGAGAGGACCTTCATTCCCAAATTTTTTTAAGGGCAGGAAGGAAGATTCTGGGATATATATGTGCAGTGGATACAGGAGCTAACACAGGTTGAACATGACAGAAATGAGGTGCAGTGATCCCCATGGAATGTGTGCTACATCTGCAGCAGCCTCCAACAGGACCTGCTGAAGGACACACAGCTAAGGGAAGCTTTTAGTTGCTCCAGCAGCTTTGCTAACTGTGCCACGGGGCATGCACAAGATATCCCATTAGCATCTCAAACGTTTAATTAAGCATGAGATCACATTACTTAGTTCTGCTATTCACTGCCTGTGTTGCAGCTTCAGCTCATCCTGGTACTCTGGGAACGGGCTGAAAAAGTCTGGGTGCTGAAGAACACAGCCAAACCCACAGTGGCCAGATAAATTTTGGGATGTGTTTCCAGGAACAAACCTGTGCCAGGCCGTCCTCACTGGCAGTGTCAGCCTCTGTCCCCATCATGTGAGTTTCTCTCCTGTTCTTTAAGGAATGATACACATAAACCATGTCCCTGCGAATTTCATCCTAAAAGACAGCAGGAAGAAAATGGTCACAGATGATCCACACCCTCACACTCACCTCAGTCCAGGGCCAGCTCCTTAATTCCAGAGCTCCTTAATCCCATTAATTAATTCATTCATTAATTAACTCCATTAATTGACACTGTTACAGCAAGGACAGCAAGTCACCTTCTCAACTGAACGACTCAAGAGCCACATCCCACAGCAAGAAGGGACTCTCCAAAACACCTCTGAAAATCAACTTTCTGCCTTAAATCTGACCCTGCTGGAGTCACAGGACTGATGCTGGGTAGAAAACCAGGCCATTTAAGACACCTCTCCTGACAAGTCTGAATGAACAGGTGTGCATCAATAAATCTCCAGTCTGAGACTGATCTGTCTCTTAAAAATCACATGCCCATTATCAATCCTTGGTCAAGGTTGTGAAAATCAATTGCAAAAAAGCTGGAAAAAAAAAGTTTCCAAACCCTACACAGTCTCACAGCAATATGGACACAAATAAAAAGCAGGAGAAAAATCAGAAAGTTCTGGTATGTTTTTTTTTGGAGGGTCCCAGTCCCCCCAAAAAAAAAAAAACACCAAAAAACCCAAAAAACTTTTACAAGATAATCCATCCTTTGTATGTGCTTCCTTTCCCCCATTTTTTTTAAATTAAGATAACAACAGAGCACGTCTATAATTTCATACTAATAAACCCTCACAGATAAGCAGCAGAGTAAACACAGAATGATGCAAGGTGCCAGTATCTATGTTGTGGAACATTTTATAAGTGCCACTGCCACCCACTCAGGTACAGAGATAACTCAGTAGTGAAGACTAAAGGCAACCAAGAGAATTCCCTCTTTTCAGGAACCCTAGTTTTATAACTTCTTCATGTTGTTAAATACAAAGAATTTTGTTTTAAAATCTATTATCCAGAGCTACAGAGGCCATTTTTAGCTGCTGTAATGACCTACCCCACGTGATTCAAATAAAAGCCATGCAGAATCACAGACAATATAATTCTGTACCTCCCTCCAGAAGGCTGGAATGTGCTCAGCAAACAGCCCCAGGATCTCCTAACAGCAATGATGGGATGCAGGATCCAACCAAGCAGAGCTGCACAACCCTTTCAGCACAACAGAGCAACAATTCATGTGCCTCCCACTGCCCACCCCAGGCATACAAGGAGGGGCTTCTTATACTTACAGCATTCTCTGGATCTGGTTCCACAGTGATGATAGCATGGTCTCTAAACTGCAGTCTGATTTTGCTATCTATTTTTGGCAATTTCCCACCTAAGAAGAATAAATTCCCCCTCAGAAAAGGAAGAAAACCAAACATGACAGAAATTGAGGGCCCTGTGCACTACCCATTCTCTCAGATTATTTTGTTAACGTGTGTTTCCACAGCCACAAATTCTCCAACTTGTGTTGGAAGGAGAAATGAGGGAGATTTTTAAATTCTAGGATAACCTTTATTGCAGTCTAAGGGAAACAGGTCATCTCTCCTACCAGACACTGGGAATTGACCAAGAGAGGTGTGCAAACCCACACAGAGCTGGGCCTGGACTGTGATCTTGGCCTGCCATGAAATGCTGCAAGTTTTAAGAGGCAGACTCAGGCACCACCATCACAGCAGCCAGTTCTGGGAAATTCAAACTCTACCTGGAGTCAAAGGATCAGAGTCACATCCCAAGCACGGCGGCAGCCGGTGCGTGATGAAATCCTTCTTCATGTCGGATGATCTCAGTTCCCTGGAGTTCTCCAGACTGTCTGCAAGCCTTCTCAGAAGGCTGCTCAGCTTTTTGGTGCAGTCAGCTGTGTTCACCTGCTAAACATCCACAAAGGATTCAAGCTGAACAGACCAGGCCTAAAGCAGTGCAGCAAAGCAGTGAAAATCTGGACACTCCTGTTTTATCTTTGCTTAGTCCCAAACCAGGCTTTGTTTCTTTCACACGCTCCCCATGAGCTGTTCACCTGTCCATGCTGAAGCAGCAGGACAGGACCACCATAAGGAGGGTCCCACAACAATTCACAGCTTCACTGACTTAAAGATTGAGAAGCTTGGCCTGACAGAACTTTTTCTGTCTGACAGATCACCTGGGTATCTTTGCTTAGTCTCAAACCAGGCTTTGGGTTCACATGTCAAAGCTGAAGCAGCAGGACAGGACCACCATAAGGACGGTCCCACAACAATTCACAGCTTCACTGACTTAAAGATTGAGAAGCTTGGCCTGACAGAACTTTTTCTGTCTGACAGATCACCTGGATGCACCATTATTCCCTGAGTCCCACCTACTAACCATGAGCAGTTGCCTTGGAATGCTTGTCCTCAGTGCCACATCCTCTTTTGCTGTATCAAACACCAGGCCAGGAATTGCATCCAGTAAGAAATCTCCCCAAGAGCTGAAGGACAGGAAGAAGAAAAAACATTACTGAAATAGTTGCATTGAAATAAAATACACATCCTACTTTTCCTAACTAGTGTTAAGACATAAAATAATTATTATAGTCTCTTGGGTTTTTTTTCATGTCTACTCAAATGTTTCCCTGTCTGCCACCCAGTGGGAAGAAAGAACTCTGGCCAGTAAAAGGAATTGGACATTTACTTCTTAGTGCTTCTCTTGCCCCCAGTTTCCATCTGCCAGCAAATGTCTTCAGCTACTCAGTGCTTTTCCAAATTGCCCTGCTTATCCCACACCTCTCTGCCTGCTGGAATCTGGTCCAAACTCTGCTTCAACAGAAATGTCCTTTTTGTCTTGGTGCCTAAAAATACCTGCAAGTGCTACCTCCACAGCTATTTTCAAATCCTCTTCAAATTTCCAAGGAAATGTTTCCACATCATACTTCCATCTACAAGCCAAATCACAACACCAGGATTGCTGCTTATTTTACCTACTCTTGCTGACAGCAGGGCCAGAGCAAGGCTCTTACACTTCATTGCCAATAACCTTAATGGATGATGACTGCACTTTTTGACTTTGGAAGACGAGCAGTCTTGAAGCTTTTGCTGCTCTCTGCTCAGCCATGGCAGACATCCCCAGGGAATGTGCTCCTGACAAGTCACGCACTGGCCCGGCCCTGGGCTCCTGCAGCCACGGAGAAACTGCACTGACTCCACACGAGGCTGCAGAGCTCCAGCAATCCCATGAGAAGGAGCTGGATCCTTGGCTTCCCAGCACTGCTTGGCCAATCAATCAGATGCAGCTGGACAAACCCTGCTGTGAGCACTGGCCTCAGGAAGAGTGACCAGCAGCAGACACCTGGGCTTCCACAGCAGCACAGCTGGGGGTCAGAGATTCATCTCAGTTACCCAAAATATGCCCAGACTTGTTCTGGCCTGTTTTGCAGCTAACAGAAATCCTTCCCAATTCCTAAGTCAGGCCAATAATCCAAGCCCAGCACCTGAGAGCTGGTTAGGTGGCAGTAACAGCATTTTTCCCTGTGTGATAACAATGTTTCACTGGAAGGACAAGGACCTGACCTGTCTCAAAAGAAATCTGATTTGCATGCATGAGGTAGAAAATTAAAAACACAGATTAGCAGAGAATATCTGCATGGAAGAATATGTCTGAAGAGATGTGGGTGACCACCAAATACAGGAGGAAACCTGATGAAAGGAATAACCCAAGGCTCTTTATCTGGATTATGAAATGAACAGCAACTTCAGCCACTGGTGAGGGGTTTTTTTTTAAAGACAACTGTGAGTTTGCAGATGTAACATTATCTTCCACATTACAGTCTCCATCTGGTAAATAATAAATAAAGCAATTAAGAAGCAATCAAGCTTGCTGCATGAAAACCTGGCAAAGAGGGTGCTTCAAACACCAGTGGTCTTCCTCTCCTCCCTCTCCCAAACCCCAAAACTTCAATTACTGCTACCTCAACATTTAGATTCAGTCCCTAACAGCAGGGCACCTATGTAATAGTGGGGTATCCCTAAATTCCATGTCACCACATCTCTGGGGAAAGCTGACATGCCCTATCCCTGTGATACCCACAGGAAAACAAACCACACAAGGGCTGAACGGGATGAACACAGGAAAGACCCAAGCAGAGCTCATTACAAGGTTATTTTTTTTAAGAAACAGAACATCACTTCTTTGGAACACCAGCTTCAGGTCTGTGCTACTCACACACATCATCTGGCAGAGGAAAGCCATACAGAACATGAAATAAAGAGGAATTACTTGTTTTGGTAGGTGCTGATGGTCACGTGTGTTGAATAGGAGATCCCATGAGGAGTGTCAGCCTGGTGAATAGTCCCTCTTGGGAAGTACAGTAGGTCACCTGGCTGCAGGAAAATGAAAGAGAATTGATACATTTAGGTCACCTGGTCAAACCTTACTGTATTCTGAACGGGATGAACACAGGAAAGACCCAAGCAGAGCTCATTACAAGGTTATTTTTTTTAAGAAACAAGACATCACTTCTATGAAACACCAGCTTCAGGTCTGTACTACTCAAACACATCATCTGGCAGAGGAAAGCCATACAGAACATGAAATAAAGAGGAATTACTTGTTTTGGTAGGTGCTGATGGTCACGTGTGTTGAGTAGGAGATCCCATGAGGAGTGTCAGCCTGGTGAATAGTCCCTCTTGGGAAGTACAGTAAGTCACCTGGCTGCAGGAAAATGAAAGAGAATTGATACATTTAGGTCACCTGGTCAAACCTTACTGTAGTCCAGAGAAAACAACTCTGAGCAGACAGACTGACAATATATATTCTTCAAAAATCACAAAACTGAGCAATTCTCCAGTGTACTCTTTAATAGCATAAAGCACTCTAAAGCCAGAAGTCCAACACCTCACATTTTCCAACCTGCTGTCAATTTTATGTACACTTTAATAACATAAAGTACTCTAAGCCAGAAGTCCAACACCTCACATTTTCCAACCTGCTGTCAATTTTTGCTCTACACCTGTCTGCAAACACAAGCTTTTAACATGCTACAACATGCACAGTCCTGCTGAGCTGCAGGATGGGGACAAAGAATCAGCTGAGATAAATGTGCTAGTAATTCAGTGCCCTGGGAATTTGGTCAGATCATATCAAAAGAAAAGGCCAGTCTTTCACATGAAAAGCCAAACAGTCTGAAAATTTTAGTTAAAACACCTTTAAAAAACCAAGTAGAACCTTCCTTCTCCCCTATCTTCTCACCTATGTAAATTAAATATCTCCACAGAAATTAATATAGATCAGGAGACAAGAAATAAGTGCAAAGTACATGAAAATGCCTCCACAAAGGAAAAAGATCAGTTTACTCATGCCTTTTCCTATAAACACCAGCACAAAGAGAAAGCTCATAAAGCAACGCTGATGAAATCTAATTCCATTTTAACCTTATGGTCCTTAAATTTGGTCACATCAGCTACTTCTAAGAGCCTACCCAGCATGATTACTTTTCCCAGCCCAGCCCACCTGAAGCAATGAAATTAGAATACCTTTAAGATGAACTCATGTGTGGGACTCCCAATCCTCTCCTCGGGCTCAACGTTGTACTCCCGAGCCAAAGGCACCGTGGGTTTGTAGAGCCGCCAGTGCTTCTCTCCTTCCAGCTGGAGGATGAACACCTGCAAAGCACCATGAACCCAAATCTTCTGGGGGTCTAAGGAAGCCCTGCTGCCCCTCACACACCCAGCTCATCAGGTATTTTAATTTATCCTCTGACTTGCCAAGGCTGTGGAACCAAGCCAGAACCAGGGACAGAAGTACTGGCAGAGGTCACTTTTCTGACAAATACAGGTTTTCCCCTTCCCCCTACTCCACAGCACAGCAAATACAACCCCTTTCACATCACCTTTTAGATATCTAAATGCACAAATTTACATTTGAACTAAATTCTTGTACTCTATTTAGAGACAACAAAGAGTTGTGAAGTGTGATCTGTTTTACCCTGAATTTCAAAATCCCTGTTCCTCTCCAGTCACTTAAACTTAGCCATTACTATTAGTACAAAAATATATAAGGAAACACTTGTTAATAATTACCCTAAGTTTTCAGTGGAAAACCAGAACTCTTTCTAGAATGTTTATTGTGGGGGAGAGGTGAAAGCACACACAGAGGCATCCACTGCCAGGAGCTCACACAGGGTCCCACAGACAAGGTGGTGCTGTCCTACCTCAACATCATCATAGTGAGGGGGAAGGCCCTGAGACCCCTGGGGAGTGATGTAAACATTGGAGCCCACCAGAGACCCAAAGTAACACTCCAGCTTCTCCTGAATCTTCCACAGCTCCTCCTATTAAAAAAAAAAAAAATGCTGTTAGTACTGAAGAGCTCAGCCAAGCCTGGCTGCCACCAGCCCATCACTGGGGAAGAATGGTGACATCCCCACAGCAACACACAGCCTGGGAAGAAGCTTCTCCTCAGGGCAAGCATTGCACTAGCAAAGGAGATCTGCCATGAAAGTAATGGGTAAGCCAAAAACTCTGGCAGAGAGAATCAACAGAATACTGATGTTTGCTCTCTTCCCTGCAAGGAGATCTGCCATGAAAGTAACGGGTAAGCCAAAAACTCTGGCACATCAAGAGAATACTGATGTTTGCTCTCTTCCCTGCACCAACTTCAGGCTGTAAAACCAGGCAAAAATGAGGCTACAGAGCAGAACAAACCACCCATCATCCCATCTGCATCAAAGAGAGAATAACACAAAGGTTAGACACATTTTACAAGTGACTCCAATTGTTTGTGCTCAAGCACAAACTTTACTCATCGAAACCCAACATGTGACAGGCAAACATCAGGAGATGCCAACTGAGATCAGTGAGTGACACTACACGTGGGACTCAGCTGTTTATTTGGGTCCTTATTTGGGCTTTAGACTGTGCTGACACCTTGGGACAAAAAAGGACTGCCTAAATCAAAGTACCTACAAGTATCCAAGTCCTTTATATAACAGTGCAGCACCACTGTTTCCTTCCCATGCACAAAGACTGAGGACACTCAGCTGAAATGGGGTGGTCACTTCCATGGTGCAATTCAATGCTAATCCATTGGCAAGAATGGTGGAGTGTCCTGGAAATACCTGACATGGTTTCACACCTCATCCTTCATTAAAGGGATGGTGAATAGTCCCTGAAGAGTGGTACAAAAACCCCTGTTTGCAGAAGGAAAAAGTGGGGCAGAAGAGATAATTTACGCACAGATGCCTAACCGTCATATATGCATTTAAAAAGCACACTTAATATTACAGAAAAGCATTACAGCACGAATCACACTTTGCTCTAACTGCAGAGCACTGAAACATGATGGCAGTGCAGAAGTATGAACTGTGTTTTAATACAGTTCAGGTAAAGATTCCAGCAGGTCATCAATGGGGGCAGATATGAAGCCACTTCTAGTGGCACTCAGCAAAAGCCACAGCCACACCACATGACAAAGCAAGCATTAATTGCACTAATTACAATGAAACAATCCTACCTTAAATCTCTGAGGTTGATGAAACTGTATTGTTGCCTTCTTCTGGTCAAAATCCTTCTTCAGGTGCATGTAATTCACTCTGCCTTCTTTATTTAAGACCTTTTTTTTCCCGTTGACACACCTGCAGACATTCACATCTCGCCCGTAGTACAGGCCCTGGCTGCACAGCTCCTTCAGGTGTGGCAGCTGGAAGAGGGACTGGTAGTAAGCAGCCACCTGGACATCATTTCTCTGAACGAGCAGTGGCTTCTGCTCCCAGTAGTCCCTGAAAAACTCCTCTTCTTTGATGGGAGAGATCAGGCTCCTGAAGAGGCTGTCTGGGCTCTCAAAACTCAGGACTGATGAAGAACCAGCTGTGTCCAATCTGGGCCGTTTGCACTGAGCCTGTGCTTCCTTTGCCACGTCTGCAACCTTCCCTCCTTTCTTGGGCATCTTCCTGTCCAAGGGGAGAGCAGCCCAGAACAATCAGCCAAGAACACAATCCAGAGATCACAGGCCCAGGGCAGCACTCTTGCCCTGCCCAGGGGGATGTCACAGTGTATTGGGAACAGCTGTGGCTTCAGGGGATCACTAATTGCTCCCAGCAGCTCACACCCCACAGCTGAGTTTGTACTAAAGAACATGTGATGGAACCCAATGGATCATTGCCAGTGCAGGAACCCACCCACACAAAGAACCTGTGGGCAAGTGGACATCTAGCAAGAGCTGCAAATTATTTTATTATATATCAACTCAGCTTTAAGAGATTGAGTGGCAACATGCAGAGCAAGGTGGAGAGAGGGGGCAGGATCAGAAACTTGTATTTTTATTACACTTCCTTCAACAGCACCACTTTACAAAAGAGGGAACATTGTTAGGCCTTTCTGTTGGTGCTGTGTAGTTACTAAATCTACAAGCTTAAAACTTGTAGAATGTACCAGTTTAAAAACCAAAATGCCAAGATTCTGCTCTGATTTCTGCCAAGCTGTCAAACTTTGTGGTTTATATAGAATAAAAATAATTGTTTCATACAAGTACAGACATTTAATTTTAAAGCTGAAAGTAACTTACTTAGGTTTTCCACAATATGTTGTGTAGAATTATACAAGAATAAAAAAGTCAATTCACAAATGGTTCAGCTGCCAAGTTCTCAGGAAAGTTAAGGCACAAACTGAGTTAGCAATAGGTCTAAACCATGTGCAGACAGACTTGCCTTGAGTCTGCTCCAGCATTTCCTCCCCCAGAGCAGCAGCAGAAGCCTGCCTGGGGAGCTGAGCTAAGCATCCTGAGGATGAGCCAGCCCCAGGCCCTGGAGCAGCACAGCCTGGCAGCCAGCCCTGGGCTCTGGGCTGCCCAACCAAAGTGACTCTGGGCACGTCTCAGCGGGTCTGAGCAGCCAGAACACGCTGATGCTTTCACTTCCCAGTAAAAATGGCACCTTTACTCCCAAAAGCAAATGCTATCAATGTACTGAAATGCTTTTACTTGCACAGATGCCTTATCCTGAAACCTAAATTCCAGTTGTGGGTATTTCCAAGCAGCAGGAAGTTCTCCTGTGCAGGAGGACACCCTGCTGATCCCTCAGCTCCTGGGAATGCTTCACCAGCAGTTCCTGGAACAGCCTGTGCTTCAATAGTAACCTGTGGTCACCTCAGTCCTGCAGGAGGGAGTTCACATCACCACCTTCCCAGCAGGATGGACATTCACAGCTGCAGGAAGCCACTGTTCTACATGAGGCAAGGGAATGCTTAAAAAAATTAAAGACTGAAAATTAGTCCCTGGTTTGCAGCAAGATCTGAAGATGCTGCTGGCACTAGGATCTAAAGCTGGCATTCCCCAAATGTCAGGAACACAAATGCAACCAACCCTGAATTGATGGTTTTGAATTCCAGGTCTAAAGCCATCATTTCAACCTCTCAGCTCGCTCAGATTGCTCTAATGAAGTTAAATTCACATAGGTACTGTTCACAGAACCCTGCTTCATTTACACCGTGTGCTTCTCTGTAGTGTTTGGTTATTTACTACAACTGCAAACCAAGGATTGGTTTGGGTTACAAGAAATCACCTGGCTATGAGCAGGGACATCTCTCACTCCATCTATTTGGTCAAAGCCTTGTTCAACCTGATCTTGAACACTTCCAGGGATGGGGCAGCCCCAGCTTCTCTGGGAAGCCGTCAGGGCCTCACTGCCCTCACCCGAAAAATCCTCCCTTATATCTAATCTAAATGAAAACCATTCCCCCCTGTCCTGTTGCTACAGGCCCTGGTAAAAAAGTCTTTTCTGTCTCTCTCTCACATCATTTAAGTACAGAAAGGCTGCAAAAATATCCCTGGAGAGCCTTCTCCACGCTGAAGCAGCCCAGCCCGTGCTCACAGCAGAGGTGCTGCAGCTCTCCCATCCCTTTGGTGGCATCCTCCGGGTTCTCTCCAACACCTCCCGGTCCTTCCCGTGCTGGGGACCCCAGAGCTGGGTGCAGCTCCCGGGTGGGGTCTGACGGGGCAGGATCCCCTCCATCCCTGCCTCCCTCCCTCAGGCTCTGGGCGCCATCGGCAGCTCCCGCTCCTCCCCTGCCCACACGCCCAGGCCCGGAGCGGGAACCCGGCAGCACAAGGGGCCCGCTCCGCCTGGCTCGGGGACAGCTGCTGTCACCAGCGCCACAGGGACACACGGCGTGCTCCCGCAGGGCCCGGCAGCGCAGCGGGAACACACGGCGGCTCCGGGGACACAGGGCCCCGCCGCCAGCCCTCCCCTTCCTTCCCGTCCCGCTCCCGCAGCCCCGCACTCACCCGCGGGCGGGAGGAGGCAGGGTCGGCCCGGTCCCGCAGGATGTGCCGCTGGAAGCGGGGCGGTCTGGGAGTCACGGCGGCCCGGCAGCGCAGCGGGAAGCAGCGGGAACACGCGGCGGCTCCGGGGACACACGGCCCCGCCGCCAGCCCTCCCCTTCCTTCCCGTCCCGCTCCCGCAGCCCCGCACTCACCCGCGGGCGGGAGAAGCACGGATCGGCCCGGTCCCGCAGGATGTGCCGCTGGAAGCGGGGCGGTCTGGGAGTCACGGGAGGAGAGGCTTCCGGGCGGCCATAGGAAACAGCGCCGTGCCCGCGTTGTTCCTGGGTGTGTTCCGACGGGAACGCGGCAGTGCCTCCGCTGGAGCTGCTCGTAGGATTAAATTTTGCTTCGTGCACACAAGAGTATCTGGGCTTTAGTTGCGCTATCTCTTCCTGAACCAAAATCCCGTTCCAGAGTCCCTCTGGGGCTCCCTCAAAGAAATCTTCAGAATCCTTACCGAGCTCTGGAAAAACATGAAAACTTCCAGAATTATTTTTTACTAAAGAGGCCTGTAAATGGTTTAGTTTACATTGTCTAGTGACATCAGAAAAAGATGTTTGTTAGGCTTTGCTAAAGCTTTATTCTTGATAGTTTGAAGAACTATATAAAACCTTTAAGAATGAAGTAGTCCGGACCTAAACGTTTGCATCACCTGTGCTAACACCCACAGGATGTTTTCTTATTACAGATGGGTGTAGCAGCAGATGTTAAAAATAGTGAGGCCACATCCTGCACCTCAGCTGATGACAGAAATCGTGACAAGCTGTTATTTCTGCCCCAGAAATCCACAAAGTTCCCTCGGCATTACTGCCTGAGTGTCGTCGGGATGAACACTCACCAAGCATGTATTTACATAATGCCTGTGGTGCTTTACCTCACAGTAAATATTGTGGGATGTAAAACCCACACATGGGACTGGCTGCAGCACCAGCAGGAGTGGGGAAATACTCCTGAATACCTTTTTAAAGACTTCCGTGCTGGTGTGCAGAGACAAATTGACTGAAAGTAGTTATTACCATACCTGTCAGGAAGTTAACACACACTTCAGAGGGTCACTGGAGCTTAGCCAGCCCTACAGCACCCTCTAGACAAGAAATAATTTGTTGAAATACTGTTTGTTATCTTTTACTATTTATACAAGAAGTTTTTTTGTAAGCATAATTTATCCTGATATCATCCCTGTCACACTGCATTAAGAAAATAAAAATTATAAGCATTGCTGTAAAAGCATGCCATTAAATGTCATTGTCATTGACAAGAGCATGTAGTGACAGGACAAGGGGGAATGGCTTCAAACTGAAAGAGGGGAGGATTGGACTGGATATTAGGAAAAAAATCTTTACTTTGAGGTTGGTGAGGCCCTGGCACAGGTTGTCCAGAGAAACTGTGGATATCCCATCCCTGGAAATGTCAAGGTCAGGTCTGAGCATCCTGGTTTAATGAAAGGTGTCCCTGCCCAGTACTCTGGGTTGGGAGAACCCCTGGCCCATGGTTTCATTCACAGCTGAAAGTAACAGCAGCTTTCTCCACCAAAAGCAAGCTCTGCAGCTCTCTGGCACCTGTGCAGAGGTGCCTGGAAGGCAAATGCAGGCAGGAATTTAAAAATTTTCCTCCACACCCCCACGTGGGGACCAGTTTGCTGCAGCCTACACAGGGCTTGGGCATGCTGTGCTGCAGGGCTTCTGCTGCTGCAAATCCTGCAAGGAATTTAGAAAAGGGAACTGATTTGGAGTCTTTCCTCCATTGGAGGCTGAGGCCTCACTGTTGGCTACACAAGAAGTACTTTTTCTTGTAGGGCAGATGAATGTGTGAAAACAATGATATTAGTTCATGTGAAAAGTTTAGAAGACACAATGCACATCTGGAGCAGCTAGATGGGATCTTCTCGGGCAATGTGGAACATCTGTGCAGGGTGCCTCATAATGGCAGTGCTGGAGCAAGGCTGTGATGGTGTATTTTTATATACATCTGCTCAGCTTGAGGTCTGGTGTGCTGTTACTGCTGCCAAAGCCTGTGTGTCCTTTGGCTTTGCATTCCCAGCATTGTCATTCCTGGTATGGTTCTGCTTTCCATGACAGGATTTCCTGGAAAAGTATCAAAGCTGTCTCAGCTCTGACACATTTGTTTGGCAGCGATCTGTCCAACTCACTCCTTGAGATTTCAGTCACTCAGCAGGCACTGTGTCACCACTTCTCCAGCTCTGGAAATGGGAGCATGACAAATGCAGCTCTTTGAAAAAGTTTAGAGATGTCACCATGCTCTGAACAAACAAGATGAGAGCAAGAAAATAAGTAAATTGAATGAGAAAAAAAAATTAAGTAAATAAATAAAGTAAATAAAAAAACCAGAGAGTAACTTAGGCTTCCAAATTTATTCCCACTTCCTTGACCAATAAACTTGACCAAGCATATTTACCTTGTGACACTTTTTGTCACCAAATGATAATTTTGAACTTCAAAATGGTAATTTTTATCTGACTTTTTAAATATAAACTCCGCTTATGAAATGACAGACAAACCCAAGGAATTTAGTGGAAAATGCTCCTTATTTGGGACAGTTATAAATTATTCTTTTCTGGAGCTGGGAAAACTTTCTGTGTTTTTCCTTGAACATCCTTAATTCAGCCTCCTTAGCCTGAACCTAAGGATATTTCCATGCAGGATTCATCTGAGACTGACAGGTTTCCTGTATGTGTCTTTGTTTTGGCACAGCTGTTTCCTTTCATTTCCTGGAACTATGCTGGGGATCACTGCTGCAAGGGGCAGATGCAGCTTCTCCTCACTGCAACATTCAATCTCAAAAGCCAAAGCGAAAGAGAAGGAGGCAAAAACCCCAAGTTCACATGCAACAAAGAGCAGAAGAACCGAAGGCGTGGCTGGTTTGTTCTCTTGACAAAGTTGTCTAAAATCTCTGTCTCAAAGCCTGTGTTTCTAAGCCAAAGGGTTCTGCAGGAAGCAGGGGATTACAGCAGGTGGAGGTGAGGCAGAGGTGTGTGGGTGACCCGTGAAGGACACAGCTCGTGCTGGGGATGCTGCTCATCCCCCTGGGAAGTGGCTGCAAGTGCACAGGGTCTGGGATGTTGTTCCTGTGCTGCCTCAGGGACTGGTGAGCCAGATACCTCAAAACAGAGGAGAGTCACGGACAGCTGACAAGGGTGAAGGGTTTTCTTGAAGTGTTGCTGATGCACAGTCTACAAAGCCCCATCAGCCTGGCTTCCTGCTGGTCCCTACTGCTAAGCCATCATTTTCCCCCTGGTTCCCATCCGAGGGCAGAGGCTGCTGAGGTCCACAGGGGTTGCCCAGGAAAATTGGAATGCAGGAAGGAGACAAGGACAGGAGCTATCCCAAGTCTGTCCCAAAGCAGTTGGTGTGGATTGCTGACCACAGTGGAGCACAGGTGAAGAACAGAGAGGCTGATTTGAGAGGAAGGGCTGGAGTGCAGACACAGACAGGACAGTGGCTCAGGTGGGAGCTGCTGTCTGTTCAGGGGGGTGACACAGGGCTCCCTTAGTGAGCACACAGCTCCTGTGCTACTGCAGTGGAGCCTGTGCATGGGATCACCCCAGTGAAGCTCTGCATAGTCCAGTTGGAAAATAACCCAGACATGTGAGAGTTTTTCATGAAGAGTTTTGCTGCTGACCAAACCAGCCCAGGTTTGATGCAGAAGTCTCTTTTGGAAAACTGTAACCTTTTCCTCTACTGCTGTTGCATTATTTTTGAAGCATGATGCAACCCTCATACACAAAATAAAGTCTAGCTTTTAAGCATTTTTGTTCATATGTACAAACCCCAGTAAAAAAAGTTGAACACAATATATACACTGGGAAATATAATCCTGGAATACGTGTCAATAACATGATTGTTCTGCAAAATAATCCTGCCCACGTTTCCCTTCAGAGATCTCTTCCTCTTCAAGCGAGGTGTGTCAGCATTGGAGATGTTGGTTTGACTTGCCCTGGTCTCACTCTCCTCACAGGGCTCTGGGAAGGGACTCAGGTCCATGTCCTCATCCGTGTCGTGGTAGCAGCCATCGAAAGCCATCGCTTGCACTGCGTCCATGCTGTACATTCCTGAAGCCTGGCAACAAAGGAGAGTTACTGTGTGTCTAGCAGGAGCCTTTCTGGCAAATCATAAATGAATAAAACAGAAGATGAAGAAAGCTTCCCCCTCAGTGTTGAGCATGTGGAGAACAGGGCTGTCCCACAGTATGGCTCTCTGTGGGGCCTGCCTCCTTGAGCAAAGAAATGTCATCAAATGTCATAAAACACACTTGTCTGCCTGATTATTGCCAGCTGCTGGCTGCAATTCGTGCCTCAGCTTCTGAAACAGAGGAATCTAACTCTCTCCTGTAGGTCTGCGTTGCTGGAGTTGTGGGAAATTACTTCAAACATTTCTGGGAGTAGGTTTTTGATGGGGTTATCCAATCATGTGAGCAACATATGCATTCTTTCTGTGCTCCTCCCCTCATGATATTCCAGCAAATGAGTTTGCAGAGGGGATATTCTTCAAGCAAAGGTTTTAAGTGAGAGCTTTACAGAAAGCATATGTTTAACTTGTGGTTATTTCTGCTTCAGGCATACTTTTCTAAAAATTATCTTGTCATTCATCTGGTCTTGGGACAAAAACCAAAAAAAACCCAAAAACAAGCAAACAAAAAAAAAAAAAAAAAACCAAACAAACAAAAAAAACCCACCGGGAAACAAGGAGGAATATCATATGAGGGCATGCTGAGGTCTATTTCAGAGACAGGAGAAATATCTTGATTGATAGGTATTTGAAAATGGAAGGAAGGTTATATTCCTCTGAGGGGGAAAAAGGGGGCAAAAAATATCCCTAACCTCTGCCACAAAAAAGGGAGAGAAAGCACAGACCTTTCAGGATTTCAGAGGAGGACACTTTGTCTCCCTTCACCCAAGTGGAAAAAAAAAGTGAGATACAGAGTGGAGACAGAGATTGTAACTGTTCTGTTATCACAGTGGTGTATCAGGACTACTCTGTGGCTTGCATGATGCTTTCAGAAGGCAACAAAACACAGAGAGTTGTACCTTGCCCCTTTTTTTGAGTTGTTTTCTCTCTTCAATTGTTGTGAGATAGTTCACCGCTGCATACTCGATGACTGACAGGAAGACAAAAAGGAAGCTGATCCATAAATACACATCCACAGCCTTTATGTAAGACACTTGAGGCATTGAGGCACTTACTCCTGTCATGATGGTGGACATTGTCAGCACTGTAGTTATACCTGCCAGAGAGGAGAGAGAGGCTGTCACAGTTCTGGCCAGCTGGCTCTGTTGAGCTCATCACCCCTGCTTGGACAGCAGGGCTCTGTGAGGGAGTGTGACTGACACCCCCCTTAACTCCCTCTCACCGGCTCTGAG